TGAAATGAGGATTTGGTTGGAAGGTGGCATAAGAAAGAGCGTGAAGATGGGTGGTGACACAGAAGAATTGATGAAGCCAGCTAGCATGTAATGGACGTTAATTCTAGCTGCCCTTTGATTACAAAACAAGTGCTGAGCTGCCCCTGACCATTTCTTAACCATCTTTATGCTGCAGCTGCTATCTCATTCCTAAGCTTAATTCAGCGTTTTCTTAGAGCATCTTTTAAAAACATTGCGCTTTTAATAATAATTAAAATAAATACCCTTTCAAGGGAAGTGCTTGCATTTGCCTGCTGACATTGTGGCTAAGCAGGTCCCTACCTCCCCCCAGATATCTGCAGAACGTTAATGTCTGCTGAACTCCACTGGCATTGTGGTTACCCTTCATATTCTTAGTGGATGTATACGAGATACCACAACATATGGTTCAGGCAGACCAGAAGTCTCGAAGGCTTGAGTCAACTCTGGGCATTCCCAAATTCGGGGCTGTTGGCACGCAGTCAGTACCTATTTGTCTCTCTGTCTATCTAGGCCAGACTCTTCTAATATAATTTAATCTGTCTAATCAAGGCTGGCTTCTATTCCTGGCCATGCTGCAAGCTTCCTGTGTGACCTTGGGCCAACCACTGCTCTTGTCTGCTTTCCCACCTCTCAGGGTCTCGTGAGGATCCCTTCACTAATGTTTGCCAGGTGCAGGCACGGGCCCCTTGGAAGTGACTATAAATAACAGCTCCAAATTAAACGGTGGGGAAGCTCAGGTTGGAACCTTGTGTCTCTCTGGCTTTGGCAAGCACTGGAGCCCAGGCATAGCTGTGTACAAGCCTCACCTTCTCCAATGGTAGCTCTGAGAACACTGCCAGGCCAAAGCTTTCCTGGGTGGGCTCTGAAGCAGGGCTCACGTGTGGTTAGGTGCTATGGCTGTGAGCAAATAAATGATTTATCATTTGTGTTTCTCTCCACACTAAGCTAACTAACGTCCGTGAAGTGAGTTTCAGTGAGGAAGGACCTGGCATTTCTAAGGAGCTGTGATTCCGGGGCAGTAGGTTTGTTGATTATGTGTGCAACAGTGAGTCCCAGAACAGCTTTTTGCTGTCTATGTGTCTTGGGAAGGAGCGCCCATTGGCACGACACAGCTCTCTGGTGCTGCTCCCAGGCAGGGCGCAGTGCCTGCAGCTCACAGCATGTGGGTGGGCACCCAGGAGGTCTGGGCTGGCCTCAGGCACGGGAGCACAGCTGGCTGGCCAGGATCCCATGAGCCATTCTGCAGCAGAATGGGACTGAAAAGGTGGAGTCTCCTCACCACTGCAACTGGGGCTCGTTGCTGGCCTTTATAGGGCCTGGCAGCCTTTTTCAGGAGCCAGCAGCAAAGTGACTTATTGAAAATAGAGAGAAAGAAGAGGCTAGGAACTAGTGAGGGCTGACTGAGGGAAGAAGCAGGCAAGCATGAGTAATACAGACATTAGAAGTGCTTTATAATTAGTTTATAAAAGCTCTCTTAACATCCGCAAAGCACTTTCTACTAAAAATCTTTAATAAAAACACAGCAATATTTGTAAGCATCTTACATTTTCCATTTAATTCTGTTAAACAGCTACAAGAAGAGTGTCTAAGCACTGCACTTCCCTCCCTTCTCAGCCCCCCATTGTCTGGGTAGTTAAAAGCACTTCAGCTTTACCTTCCTGCCTTAAAACTCCCTAGCAGAAAGTTTTGTTTCAAACCAGCTGGCTGGCCCTCCCACTCCAGCAGTAGCTGAGAATATCCCGCTGCTGGAGGAACAGCCAAGAGTGGCCACCTTCCCTGCAAGGAGACCTGCTTATTCCATTGACTGCAGATGTGAGTTATGGATGTTGTGCCCTGCCTTCACGTAGCTGTGGTTGGCTCTCTGGAGCAATGCCTGGACGGGAAGAATCATAGAATCACCAAGGTTGGAAAGAAAGAAGTGAGAAGAAGTGGCCGTGAAATGTGGCCTTGGAAATAGCAGCCTGCCCAGTGGAGGTAATGCTAGAGAGGTCAGCCCACAGGGGTGATGATGCATGCTGACTGAAGTAGTGGATTTGGTTATGTGAGTGAAATGCAAATTGCTGGGTGCTGGTCAGGGTGGTGTGGATGCTATCACTGCATAACTGTCCCACCCAGCTGTGCACTAGTTTGTAATTATCTGGAAATGAAATGGTTGGACTAAAAACCGTCCCCTGCATTGCACTTTCTTCCTTCCATTTTTTCTTCTTGTTTTTCACATAGAAAGAACAAAGTCTGGAAACAATGCTTAAGCCTAACAGAAGCAAAGGTCTGGTCAGTGACCCAACATGAGGAGAATGGGGTTTATCAGTTTATTTGATTGTGGGCCAAGGCACGGACAAGACCAAAGCACATGATGCCAAAGGAGTCTGTGGTGGGATTAGCCGGTATTCTTGCTGAAATTTTAAACTCTTGTTTTGGACCAGGAGTCTTTGGTGTTTCATTTTTAAAGCCTGGAGCTTAATTGCTGCGCTGGAGAGGAAGGAGGTGCTCCCCCTCATCTGGGCAAGAGCTATCTCCTGACCGTAATGCACTCCCAATTCGTGCTGTTTACATGACCTGAAGAAAGGGGGTTTTGCCTCATGAGGCGCAAGGGGCTTGAGCCAAGATTTTTTAGCTAGGAACAAAAACTCATATGTGTTTATGTTCATTTTATATTTGGCAAAAAGGATTCTCTGACCTTCTCCTAGGGGCTTTTTTAGCTGTTTGTAACGTTTGATTTATTAAGGATTAGCAGCAGTAAGAGAAAGCTCGGTTAGATGCTTGGATGAAGCCAAACAGGGTTTAATTCAGAGAGAGGCAAATATTTCCTGATGGTTTACTTACTAGATTCATTCTTTTAATTTTCCATTTGCAGATTGTCCAAGAGCAGATTGCAATATTCCCAAATTGTATGTATTATTGGAAGTCATTCACCCATTCAGTAAGCAAATATTTCTTGGTCCAGAATTTGCTTCTGAAATTGCCAGGGCTCCTAGAGTATTGGGTGGTTGAGAAGCCATGTGGAGAGCAGTGGGCTGCTGGGTGTGCTGGCTGCAGCAGGAGCTGGAGTGCTGCATTCCAGCAGCTGAGGCTGTGTCCAGAGTTGGCCAATCATAACCCCATGAGGACACAAGATGTGTTTCCTTGGGGTGCAGCTAACCTGCGCCTGTGCCATGCAAATGGCAGCTTTTCCAACGCAGTATGTTAGCTGTGTCTTGCCAACACTCGTATTTTCAACAAATTGATTTTTGTTGCATGTTCATTATTTCAGTAGTTGTCAGCAGTCCTGTAGCACAGACATGTACTTCAGATATGGAAGGGCTGCACACACAGTTGAGATCAAGGAGTTATGAGAACAAAATGTCCCCACTGTTTGCTCAGCACTACTTTAAACAAATAGACAAACAAGGAGGAAAAAAAATTCTGCTTAGAAGAAGCACTAACACTGTCCTCTGTGTTCTTCCTCCCAGGAGAGAGGATGGGAGCAAACCACACGTTAGGGACATTAGTGAGGTCACGGAGGGTGCTGCTGGGTGATATTAGGGCAGTAAGGGGTCACGAGGTGACGGGGAGCTGCTCAGGGGCTGGGGGAGCTTACATCCCTGCACTTCCACCCACCAGCTAAGCCAGGTCTCTTCCTGTGCCAGTGCTTCATTTCAGGACTGCTTAGGTTTCACCTTGGCCAAGGCTGTGGCATTTGTAATGGAGTTAAAGGCTGGGTGATTAGAGCTAACTCAGTGCTGCGTCCAGCACTGACAGGATTTTATCTGCAGGCGTTTTGCTTCTGGCTCTTGGCCTGATTTAGTCCCAGAAAGGAGTGAAACTGAAGCTGCTCAGGCAATCTTTCTTTGTGGAGGAACACACTGCGTCTCTGTAAGTTTGTTTTCAGGCTGTTGCCCGCCAATGTGAGCTTTGCAGAGCAGGAGTGAGTCACATGAGGATCACTGCATCCAGCAAGCTACTTCTTTCAACTCTTGATTCTCAAACACGAGATCTTGTGACAAAAGGCAGATTTCTGGCAGCGTGGAGCTGCTGCTTCCCTCCCAGCCCCACAAGAAGAGCTGCAGCATTGTTCAAACAGGTTGATAACAAAGCGAATGAGCAATGGAAGGGAGATGGGCAGTCTCTGTAAATAGCAGCGTGCTGGCCAGAGATGAGGAGAGGGGCGGGAGAGCGCGGGTGTTAGGAGACAGCTGAAGAACAAGATGTTCACATAAAAGCTGTTTGTTTCTTCGCAGCGCACGCAGCCTGATACTACCTTGCTATTAGTCATGGCCCAGACGAAGGAATCTGTGGGAGTTTCCCCTTCAAGCCAGACTTTGCAGCGAGCCTTTGTCTCAGCACCAGGAGGCAGCTCTCCCAAGCCACCGTGTTCCTCCCCAAAGCCAGGGGCTGGCTGGGTGGGCTGGCAGAGCAGGTGGGAAGGCAGGCTGTTACAGGGACCCAAGGGCTGGGCGGTGGTGGATGTGGTTGCCCATCTCTTCCTGCAGAGCTTCTCATCCACATGAGTCTAAGTTAGCACTTAACAGAATAAAATTGGTATTACCATCCAAAACCTGAATAAGTATAGCAGCCACTCTTGTTAAAGGACCAATGCAGCATCAAGAATGTACACAATGTGTAGAATGATGGCACATAGAGAGGGAAGGGAGGGAGAGCAGCCCAGGAGTATTGGAACTGAGCTTCTCCCTTGCCAAAGGAGTTTTGTAAAAATGCGGGCAAATTGTGTCCAGAATTTTGCAAGTTGTCTGTGAAGTTGAAGTGGATGTGGGTACAATAAAATAATAATTGTGTGAGGTCACAGTAGAGAAAGGGGCAGACAGACAAGAGGGAAAAATGTATGTGTGTGTGTGTGTAGATGTGAATGACTGAGTCCCAGGCACCTGACTGGAAGGTAGTTCTGTGAAATACTCAGATAAATAAGTGCTTAGCGTCTGTCCCCAGCATGCTGAAGAACCCCTCTGACAGATGGTTTTCATGCCATGTCCTCTGCCTCACAGGTACGACTTCATTGAGATCCGAGATGGAGACAACGAAGCAGCCGACCTGCTGGGCAAGCACTGCGGGAACATTGCACCTCCTACCATCATCTCGTCAGGCTCCTCTCTCTACATCAAGTTCACCTCAGACTATGCGCGGCAAGGGGCCGGCTTCTCCCTGCGCTATGAGATCTACAAGACAGGTCAGTGGCTGAGTCAGTGCCTGTCTGCCGGGCCGTGTGCCACAGTGGTCTTCACAAGGAGATGTTGTTGGTCTCCTTTGCTGTATGTGCTGTATGGTGTTAGCACATTCATGTTCTTCACAGATAAAGAGCTCTTTTTTTTAGTTTAGCTTATTGGGGTTTTTTTTACGTTTAAGCTAGTCATCATCTCACTTCCAATAAGGTAAAGATACCAGAGTGGGAAATGATGGTACCTTTTTGGATCATAGTGTGGCATCAAAAGCAGGATTCCTTGTTATACGCTCCCTTGAATTCAAGGACTCATAAATGCTTATCTTTCTTCATGCATGCGTGGAGCTTGTTAGGGCTAAGTGGGGATTGTCTTTGGGTTAGGAGTGTATGGAGCTCCCCTCCTGTGGAGTTGCGATTGAGGAATGATCAATGGCACTGTGTTTTCTCCTCCTGGAAGCTAGGTTTGTAACTGAGGAGCTCTGGTTTTCAAGGGACTGCTGTCAGCAGAGCTGTCAAGGGTAGAGATGGTGCCTTTCCAGGCGAATATGAGAGGAACTATTCATAATTCTGTTTAATACCAAACTATTATTGAGGAAAGTAAAAGCTGCTCAAAGGCCTTTTAATAGCGTTTCTGTCTAAATATTTGTCTGGATTGTGTGTCTGGGAAGAAGGCGTGAGAGCATAAAACCCACTCAGTGTGTTGTGTGTGCGGGTGAGTGAAGTGTGCCCGCTTACAAAGGGAGCAGGAGCATGTTCTGCATGGAGATGCAGTGCCCACATTTCTGTGGTGGTGCGTTGGAAGAAACACATACGCAGCTCTCATGTCATTGCATCCAGCAAGAAAAACGTGCCCGTGCCTGGTAAAGAATCAGAAGGGAACACAAGACTGCCTCCCCTTTGCAGAGGCTGGTGACTGATCCGCCTCTACAAAGAGGCAGGAGCACAGGCACCAGTGCTCAGGGACCACATGGCAGGCAGGTTCACAGGCACCCCATCTGCTCACACGTGGAGGTGGATGTGGAGACTTTGCTGCTAGGGGTCAGGGATGGGATTCCTCAGTTTTACTGTGGATTGGTGAGGACAGGAAGTGTCTAGAGGTTCTTGTGAATGAGGAAAGTGCTGTTGCTGATGGTTGCCTGGGCTGCATAGTCAGCCACCAGTCTGGTCTGGTGCAGCCACTTCAGACCACTGCTGTTTATTAATGGTGAAGACTTAATTGATTCAGCTGGCTCTTGGGATTTGTTGAGGCCGGTTGCTAACACAGAAGATGGTAGAGTGCCTGTGTTCAGGTGGGAAGACTGGTGACCCTGCTCAGCATCCCTTGCCACTCCTTCCTGGTACACACACGTACACTCTGAGCCCGAGAGGCTGGGTACGGAGTTGTGCTGGTTCCCAGATCGAGTCTGTGCCCTGCCTCGGAGCACAAAGTGGTGTGAAGTGGTCCAACTGGCAGATGGCAGAGGTGGCCAGTGGGAAGGAATGGGGGAGCAGGCAGGAACTGACTGCCAGTGTTGGGAGATGTTGTCCCCAGGAAGGGGACGAATTCATGGAAAAGGCAATCTTGTTGCTTCTGGGAGGGGAGAGATGGTGTTGGCTGGAGGCTGGATATGAGTTTGCGTCCCTTATTGGAGATTCCTGCAGAGCTGTCAGGCCTGAAGTTGTGCTGTCACTCCTCTAGCCACCATTCTCCCGCTGCAGGCAGCTACCGTCTCCAGAGAGAGAAACACTTTTTTCCTGCAACAGCCCATGAAATTTAGCTTGGCAAGGCATATTTCAGCATAGGGGACTGGGAGCACCACATTGCCATCCTTGCCCGGCCCTGTCCCTGCCAGGGATCCCTGGAGAAGTGTGCTTCAGGCACTGCATGGAAACAAACCTCACCTTTTATTTTCATACACCTTCAGTCTGAGCTGCCAGGGGAGCTTGCAAGGGTGTCACCAGCTTTAAAGGTCACTGGATTGTCATTGTCCACATCAGTAAAAGCAGCATTGCTTCAGCTTCTTTCTTCCTTAAAGGTGACAAAAAAAAACAACTCGTTTCAACCGAGCATTTATTTCCACACCTTGTGCTGAATTTTCCTTATCACCATGTGAGAGGGGCAATCTGCATACAAACAACTGCATACCAGTCTCTGAGTCCCCTGTTGGGACTCAGTCAGTGGTCTGTGGGCTGACAAAAGAGCCCAGCCTCCCTGCTGCTCACTTTGTGAGTCAGCTTGGCAGGGCTGGCCTGAGCCCTCCTCGCTGGGCATCAAAGTGTGCTCTCAGGCTGGTCCATGCTGCTGAAGCCAGCAGGGCTCCTGTTTATTATCTGCAGCATTCTTATGAAAAGACGATCATTGTTTGCTGGTATCAGCCAAGCTGTAGACAAAGATGCCAAATCCGATAAGAGCTCCACATGAGGAAACTTGTTGTCGAATACAATGACATAGTTATGTCTCTCTCCTGTCTCGAGGGGACAGTTCCTTACTCCTAACTCTAGGTTCTGTCTTTGATTTTCTCCCTAGCTTGGAGCTTGCATTATTTTGTTTATCTATTTGTCTTTTCAGCTGTTCTGAATGAAGTACACCCTTATCCCCGTTCACGGCATTATGCTGTGATTTGTGTTTGGCCTTATTTTTTGCCTCTGCATTTTACTCCATAGGTTCACACCAGAAAAGCTGGCTGCTTCATTAGGTAGTCAATTAAGAGACTCTCCTGAGTAGCTCTCCAGCTAGGCACTGCATAATGCGGTGCCGGGATCCTGCCATTACTGTGGGCTGCTGGTCTGACTCCTGGAGGTTACTGCTGAATTGAATAACAAGTCTCCCATTAGTCCCAGGAAGGCTCGTGCTGCCTGGAAGAGATGGAGCAGAAGGGTCTGTAGAGGAGAAAGCGGGTGTCCCAGCAAAACCAAAGCTGAAACCTTTGTTAACACCGGGTTGCAGCAGCGGCTGCAAAGCTTTGTAATGTCTCCTTTCCCCTCCAATAGCTCCAGGCTGCAGATTTCTGTTGGCCATTGTCCTGCCTCCACAGAGCAGTGGTTTCAAAGTCACCGTGGTATGAATACGTCACAAATTCCCCTTTTGCTGGCCACCCCGAGGCACCTTGGCTCTCTGAGAGGGGGCACCGAGCTGCGGCGGGGGCCAGTGCAGAGGTCAGCAATAAATAAGAGGCAACATTGTCTGCCCGACTTGCAATGCAAAGGTCTTCCTTAAGGATAGAAATAACTTGCATTTCTGGTGCGGACAGCCGAATCTGTGAGAAAGGGGCTCTGTTCCCCCTCTTGGCAGAGCCCCCTGCCACAGCTCCATCTCCCCCACCCTTGCCGTGGCCATCGAGCACAGCCGTGTGCTGGTGCTGTCCCATCCCTCACAGAGATGCAGGGGCACCGCAGGCTAACTGCTTGCCTCCCCAGGGTTGCCAAGGTTCCCGGCTGACAGTGGAAACATTGGCACCCGCTGGCCCCTCTGGGTCTTTTCACTGTCTAAATATTTGCATTTCTTGATTTTCTTGAGGAAACTGAGGCATAGATGTTGAGAGAAGTTGCAGGAGACCAGCCCCTGGGGAGAGCTTTCTTGAAACAGATGAAGTCCCCATTACTCTTCTTTTGTTCCTTCCCAGGACAGCTCCTTCACTGAGCAGGGGCTCCTCCATCACGCCTGGACAGTGGTGGCCTGTTGCCAGCGCAGCTGGGTTGATGATGATGGCAGGTAGCAGGTCACTCTTTCAGGAGCCAGTAGGGGAAGCCCAGCCCAGCTTGGCATGGCCTCCCTTCCCCTGCAGAACTACCACCTTGGTGTGGGGGATGCAGCAGGGACTGATGTGCCAGGTCACAGCCTTGGCTTTGAGTGGCTTTGGATGGGATCACCTTCCTAGTCCTGCTTTCGGAGTAACTGGCAAGGGGCTCAGCAGAGGCACATGGGGTATGTATCTATAGCTATCTGAGGGATTTAGATACACTGTTCTCTCCAGCAAGTGCACAAACCTTGTCATTCCAGCCATGGAAAGCTTTGAAAATCACTCTCCATCCTTGCAGGCAAAGTCACACAGCTCTTGGGCCACAGAGAATTTCCAGAATACACAGCCCCTCTAAGCTCAAAATGGGGTTTCCACAGTCTGTCAAGCTGTTGGTATTAAGCTTGTCATTAAGACTGGGTTTTCCCTGCTGTTACAGGCTCTGAGGACTGTTCCAGAAACTTCACTGCCTCGAATGGCACTATTGAGTCTCCGGGTTTCCCTGACAAATATCCACACAACCTGGACTGCGTCTTCACCATCATAGCCAAGCCAAAGACAGAAATCCTCCTCCACTTTGTGCTCTTTGACCTCGAGCATGACCCTCTGCAGGCAGGGGAGGGAGACTGCAAGTATGACTGGCTGGACATCTGGGACGGCATCCCTCAAGGTAAGCCATGGGATGCCACTCCTGCGTCCTCAGCGCCTCTCCATGTCTCACAGAGCTCCAAAACTCTGTGCTCTGTTTCTTAAGATTAAAGGTACCTAACCTTAGAGATGACTGCAGCATCCAGCCTGGCAGTAGGGCACTCTGTGGCTGTCCATGGGAGCAACCTGCTTGCAGAAGGCTGCATGCATTAATCCTGAAACTAAAGCTCTGTTGTAACCACTGATCTAAAAAGTCCCATGGGGCACTCCCACATAGCACTGATCCTCACTAAGAGAAGGGCAAAGGGTTCATGCATGCTGAGAGGATCTCCCTACCCTGAACCAACACTGTGAAACAGAGCAAATTGGAGCGTTTCCCAGCAATTGCAGAGCAATATTTGCTGCAGTGGATATTTCTGCGCAGCACACTGCGTGGCACTGGGCCAATGGATATAAAAAAGTAGCCCATCCCCAAAGCCTGCCTTTCTTTCATCCCAATCTCTCCTGCTAAGGCATCCATGCTGAGTGATGCCAACCTGCTGGTGACCCATGAGGCTGGGGAAAAGGCAGGAGTTAACACTGTTGCTTTTTCTTTTACAGTTGGCCCTTTGATAGGCAGGTACTGTGGCACTAAGATGCCATCAGACATCCGCTCGACCACCGGCGTGCTGTCACTCACCTTCCACACTGACCTGGCTGTGGCTAAAGATGGTTTCTCTGCTCAGTACTACTTGATCCAACAGGAAGTGCCTGAAAGTAAGTTGGAAATGTCCTGAGCATGTCTTGGGCAGTTGTGTTGTCTGTTTCACCTAAGCACTTCCTTCGCAAGAGTGAGGTGGGAAGAGTATGCCTAAAGGGCTTCTTCCCTATTAGCCACAGAGAGAGGAATTATACTGAGTTTGCTGTTTCTCACAGGAATGGGATGTAAGGAAGAGTTACATTCTCTGAATTTTCCTTAAGTTTTCACTTGCTCATGTCTTCTCCTTACCTTTTGGGATAGAATCCTTTGTGTATATGCTCAGCCCAAACGATTTAGGGTAAGACTTCAGCCCAGTGGGTGCAGCAAAATCATTAAAGTGTTGGGGAAAATCTCTCCAGCTTTCCAAAAATTCACAGCCCCAAACTACAAGGTGAAATTTCATGTCTGTCTAATTAAGAAATGCCTAAAGCGCTAAGAAATTCAAACCAGAATTTGTTTTAGGTCCTTTATTAAGGGAAATAAATCGAGTTGGTGTAAAGAAGAAAAGTTGTATGTTCTGAGAGTGAAGAGCTTTTTGATTCTTTGTGAAAACACTTGCAGGCTAGAAGAAATTCAATTACTTTTCCCATTATATTTCTGCAACGGAGCTACAGTTCTCAACCTCTGTTAGCAGCAAACCTGTGATACAACAGAAAAAGCCTTCAGGATACCCGTCAATCCCAGAGAAAGTGAGGAGGTCTCTGACCTAGGCTGAGAGCCCAATGATGGACAGCAGGGCTGTGCAGGGCTGGGGGAGATGGGTTATAGCCTCTTGCTCCACAGCTCAGCTAAGGCTCCCTCTGCCGAGGCTGTGAGAGTTACAGATATGCACAAGCTCTTCACTGCTACATATTTCCACAGTCTGTTGATTTGTTCTTTAATCCCCTTTCTATCCCATTCTTTAAAAGGTCTGGGAAATAAAGCATTGGTGACACACAAGGCTTGAGAAATCAAGCACAAGAACTATTAAAGGGCTAGGCTTGTTTTGATTCACACTGGTGTAAACTGAAACTCTAATAATACCACTGAGATCTTAACTTGGCTCATCATTTCCACTCGGGGTTGACTTGGCCGCATTAAAAACACAAACAGTTTGGTCAAGCCCCACAGCAGTGGTGAGCTGTTTTCACTGTTGTTGTTTTTACAGGACAACTACCATAAAATATATGAGATGTGCAGTAAGATTGGGCTAATTGCGACCTTTAAAAGTCTTAGAAGTGAGGAAACCCAAATAAAAGCATGCCAGAGTCTTTCATGTTTATGGCTGGTTAATCCCTACAGGACTGATATCACAAATAATGCAAGCACACATCCACAAACACACCCATACACTCACATGCACACAGAACCTTTAGGCCTGCCTGTGCCAGGCTTTGATGTTGCTGCTGGCAGCACAGCAGTGAGCATCCTCCTGTTTTCCTTGCCCACATTCCTTGCCTTGTCAGTGCCTAGTTTTCACCTCCAACCTTCAAGAAGATGGGAGACTTCATGGCAAGGGAACATGGGACATCCTAATCCAAGGAGACAAGGAGTTGGAGGGAAGAGACAGAATAGTGCATTAAAACTGCAGCGGTGGAGAAAGGGGAGAAGGGCAGAAAGACCTGGACAGTGTTGATTGTCAGAAGGCCATTCAGACATAAAGCTGCCCCACCTTTAATTTCACAGTGCCATCTGTGAGCACACACAACACGCAAGATTGTACAGATATGCTCATCTTTCCAGGCAGACAGCTTTGCTCAGGGTTAGATGTAAAAGATAGCTTAGGGCTGCCTTCCACTAGGGAGTGAAATACAGACACTGTAAGCTGATCAGCATCTATGTGTGTGTCCCTGCTGCAGACTTCCAGTGCAATGTGCCTCTGGGGATGGAGTCTGGAAGGATCTCCAACATGCAGATCAGTGCCTCCTCCACCTACTCAGATGGGCGATGGACGCCCCAGCAGAGCCGGCTCAACAGCGATGACAACGGCTGGACCCCCAATGTAGACAGCAACAAAGAGTACCTCCAGGTTTGTATGCTTTCCACTCCCCTCGCCTTGTTCCCCACTAAATGGAGCATCACGCTGTTAAACTGACCCTTGACCATAAGGCTTGTTGAATTTTTTATTGCCTCTGTGGCTCATGGGGAGCAAGCAGCGGGGGAGCTGGAGTGCCTCCGTGAAATGAGATAGGCTGGCTCTCCCATTAACGTGCTTGCATAAGGCTGACTTGACCCATTGTCCCTCTCCCACCCCTCTCCTTTCTGCCCAAAGTGCTGATGGACTTTCCAGCATACTGACAGAAATTGAGAGACCTCTGCCACTTACAAGGGCCACTGACTGCAACTGGCCTGAGGACCAATGTCTCCAGGAGACGTGTGGAAAAACAGCTAGAATAATATTTATCTCATCAGTGATGCAAGGAGCATGAGTGGGCTGCACGTCAGGTAGGGGGCTGTCAGAGCCAAGGCCTTCCCTAGGACCTAGTTAGATCTGCAGTTTCTGTCCATACACAGGGTTTCTGTCTGTGTCACACTGCCACGAGATGTTGCTTGCTAAAGGGCACTAGGAATGGAAGATGGTGAATGTCATTGCCTCCAGCAGACATCTCATTCTTCATTCATGGCTGTGCTACCAAGCCAGCTCTGCTGACCTTTCTCAACCCACACTGTGAAAAAAAGAATAAAAAGAAAAACCAGAAACTCTAGCACTTGCTAATTGGACACCCTGCTTTTATTTTACATGGAAGAAGTCAGTCCTTGTCCTGTTTAATGGACCTGAGCCTCCAGTTTCTGTGCAGATCCTATTGCTTGGTCTAAGGCAGGAAGGTGGCTTTGTGATGGGCACATCAAGACCAGTTACACTTGTCCCATTGTTCTGCTGCAGGCATCCTGCTGAACTCAGCCTGGGGGAGTTAAACCCTTTGGAGATGAGTTCTTACATTCCCATGTGCTTCCCCATGTAGAGGGAGACAGACTGAATTTGCACGTTTTAATGTTTGGGAAAGTAAGTGAGGAACTAACTAGCCAGCCTGGGCTCTCAGCTGCTCACCACTCTGTCTCTTGTCCCTTTTTCCCTTGTAAAGGTGGACCTCCACTTCCTGACTGTGCTCACAGCCATTGCTACACAGGGTGCCATCTCCAGAGAAACCCAGAACGGGTACTATGTCCGTACTTACAAGCTGGAGGTCAGCACCAACGGGGAGGACTGGATGATGTACCGACATGGTAAAAACCATAAGGTAAAGGCCTTTTTGTCTCTTTTATGTGTGCCCTGGTGGGTCTTGCAGCCAATGGGAGGGAAGAGAACAGAGTGATTTTACAGACCTACAATGTTTAATCTGTGAGCGACCCTTTTTCTGATGAGGGCTAAAAGACTGATGATGCCTTGAGCAGAGCAGAAATAGTCCTCTCTCCGCTGCACAGCAATGAGGAAACATGATTCCTTGGAAAACCTGGCTGCTGTTGCATCTTTCGTAGTGGTGAGAGTATGTTCTTCGACTGCAAATGAAGGAGAAAATGCTTTAACAGCCTGTGTTTTGCCATACAAGATTCATTGAGCTTTTATGGCTATAGCCCCGTCTGCATGCTGGGTTAACAATCACAAAACCACATGAAACTGTAGTTCAGGAGTTATTGAGGCTTGGAAATGAAAGGGCGCAAATCCTTAGAGGGGATCGCACCATCCCAGAGAACAAAATGAACAATAAATAATGAGGAGCGATTCAGGCTGCCAGAGCTGTGGGATCTGTGCTAGCAGGCACGGTTGGCAGTGGTGCATCAAACCCCAGGAGCTGGTGCATGCTCTCACCGTGTTCGTGGGAGGCACATGCAGATGGGAGCAAGGTAGGGTATAAATACGGGTTCCTGGCCCTTTGAGGGCCTGCGCATGGTGCTGCACGGCAAGGTGATTCTGAGACAGGCAAAGCAGGAACTGACAATCTGGTTTTGTACGGGGAGAGCCAGCCAGGCTTAGGGTAGCTGTGGTGCTGGCTGCTTCTGCTCTGTCACTTGCCTTGGTCATCTGGTTGTCCTCTGGTTAAGTGCATCTTGGAAAAGCTCTCCCTGCTTTTCTTCAGACCCCACTGGTGCTGCTGCCAATGCTCAGGTCCTCCCCACTGCCGTGCCGTGATCTGATTGAAATGGGGCCTGCCTGCCTCCCCCCACATGCACGTCCTAGCAGTTTCTGCTTCCTCAGCATTTCTGTTAAATTAGCTGTCCCCTCCCTTTACTGGCATAGGCGCTGTTGGCATGAACTGCAGTAGCCTGCCTTGTCCAGGATTCCTTCAGACATTTCCTTCCCTTCCGGGCCATGTGATTTTCCCTTCCTCACAAGCGGTTCAAATTTGCTCTTCATCCCATAGCAAGTCCACACCGTGAGAGGCCCCTAGCAAGGCCTCATACCTGCAATATTTGGAGCCTTTCAGCTCCTCATGTGCCAGGGAGCTGGTGTTCCTGCTATTTTAGAGGTACGGAGATGGGGACACAGGGCAGCACAGCCCCTTCTGAGCTCCCAGCTCAGACTGCCTGTCTGTCATTGTCATGGAACACCAGCTGCCCTGCAGGCCCTGGGCTGCAGCTGATGGCAGAGCTCTCGCTGTGCTGCGCAGCCTGCTTTCCCCAGGGCCACTTGGTGCAGCAGTGCTTTCTGTGAACCAGGGGCTTATCTCCCTGCTCTGGGCAAGCCACTGGGGAGCCTGAGGTCTTGCTGGGACTATCTCTGCAGGCTGATTTCCCATCCTTGCCATCCCAGACCCCTCGTCCTCAGCCAGGGTGGAGCAGGGCCCCACTGGGCTTGCCTACATCAGCCTGGCTGGTGCCAGCCCAGAGCATCCCCATCGCCATGTGCATTACCACCCTATTGACACTTGGACTTCAAGCCCTATCAGCTCTTTTCTGCCCTACTTTCTCTCTTCATTAAAAAAAGGAAAGAGAAAGAGAAAAAGTTAAACCTTTCCTTTTTTACTCCTTTATTCCAGTCTCACCACTTTCCCACATTCTGGCCTTAATTTAGCAGGCACCTCCCCAGGCTGGAAGACAAGTAATTGCTTTCAGTGGCTCGCCTACCCCTTACATCAGAGCATCGTGCTCTCCCTCCCTTTGTCCTCAAGAGCGACCCTGGCAGCTGAGACATGGCAGGCCAGGGGCAGCTCCTCACTCACAGCCTGGCTGGGGGGCTTTGGTCCATGCTAATCTCAGCTGTTCCTGTGCTAGGGAAGCTCTCAGCCTCTGCGCTCAGCTTGCAGGTATCACCCTGCGTCAGTACAGTGCTCTGCTCACTGCGGGCTGCAACGGTGGAGCGAGCCATGCCAAAGAGATTTGTCAAGTCTGCCGCAGCTTGATTTGGTGCCATGAGGAGCAAGGAGGGGAGGGGCAGACAGACGGGGACTCTGTTCCTCTCTGTGCATGCATACACACACACAGATAGATAGATAGATATATACACGTGTATAGATAAGTATATATATGTATATGCAGATGCACGCACATACATATGGGGTATATCAAACACTGCTCTGAACTTCTGTTCCGTGTGTGGGCCAAAAACAATGCATTGCTGTACTGTGGGCAGGTCAGCTGACATTTACATCTTTATCAGGAAGCTAAAGCAGGAGAAAGCCGGCAAGCACAAGAGCGGTGGAAGGAGGAGGAGGATTCTCTCTGCAGAGGACAGAGAGCTCTGACCTCCTCCCCTTCGTTCCCACTTCCCCTCCTGGCAGGTCTGGGAGGAGAGCAAGGATGGGCTGTGTCCCTGTGGAACATGATGGCTCACCTTTGAGTCCACAGCCGCTGGCAGTCGTGGCAAGGGAAACTGGAGAGGCAGGATGAAGCTGCGGAAAACGAGATTAATATGCAATCTGAGCAGAGGGGCTGGCTGGGCTGTTTCCTTGCAGAGCACTGAGTGCTGGGAGGCGGTGAAGCTGCAGCGAGCGGGAGGGGAGCAGCAAGTCTTCCTGGCACCCTGGATTCGGGCCAGGCTTCCCCACTGTCCCTCAGAGCTGAGCCCAGCACACTGCAGTTATCCTCCTGTCCAGGGGATGATGCTCTGTCCTTCCAGGATATGGGACCAAAGGTGTAGAGCTGCCTTCTTATAGGTCCCCTGAGTGTCAACGGAGAGGAGATGGGCAGGAAAGCAGCCACCACATACTGCTGTCACACTTTCCCCTTACTCCCCTCCAGAGCATCCCCATGGGACAAGTCTAAACAACCATGACTCCAGGAAAGCTGCACTGGCTTTTTTCTCCTTTGTGCATCCTGCAGTGAGCTGCTTAGCCTGAAAACCTGGTTCTCTTTGTGCCACTACCCCCAGTGCTCCTGCTTGTCACCTCTCTCTGGGTGTCTGGGCACAGACATGAAGGGGGAACCAGGCACCCTGTAAATGTGCCCAAGCCTGCAGGGCCAGGGCTGCTGTTTCTGTGTGCAAGCAGTGGTGTCGGCACGTGTCCCTCTCAGTGTCACCCAGCGGTCAGTGGCCCCTGAGGTTATCTTCCAGGCACTGGCCCTGCAGCTTGTGCCAAGATCTTATCTGGCCATTTGCAAATATCTTTAAAAAACAACTCCTTCTTTAACGCAAGAAAGGAAAAGAGTACCTGGCAGGATTTGCCCTTTTGTTTTTGACCATTTTCTTCAGGCAGATGCAGTGGTGAGGATTTTATTGGAAAACAACATGCTCATCCATTCTGATCCACTTCCTTCATTGCAGGGTTTCAGGTTCCAGTATCCGTGTGGTCTGAGCTTCCCCACATTTGTAATTGCAGATTTCAGCTCTCAGGGATCATGTAGTGGGGGGCCGAGATAGGTGCTATCACTGCCTCCATTTCCCTATGTGTGAATGGGAAGAAGGCAACTGAAGCATTTGCTTTGAGACTCTAAGTCAATAGATGAGGAGTGGCAGAAAGATCCAGCTGATGTGCGTTTTCAATTTCCTACTTGTTTTGACAGCTTTATGCTTGTTATCAGTGAACCTTCCTGGGTGGTATTTCAGATGAGGCAGGAAGGAAGGTTAAATCACTGCGTACAGCTTCAGCAGTACCTCAGCTGCGCATGGAGCCAGGGACATTAGAGGTGTTCGGTGCCTGGTAGAGGATAGTGAGGATTAATCTTTGGAGACCCTCATGCTTTCCCTTAGGAGCAGTCCTTCGCCCTTTTAGTTCATAACAAGGTCTCTTGTGTTTATTCACCTGAGGAGGAAGAGAAAAGCTTTCAGGCCCTGGCTTCTTTTTTGTGGAAATCTCAAGTAAAGCTCCCGTGATCAGCCAGAAAGCCACACGTGCTTCTGCACAGAGGCATCATGGTGCAGAGAGTTTGCCCAGAAGCATCCCCAGGTCCCAGCCTGCTTCTGCTGCTTTCACAGCAGTACAAAGCCGCCAGGCTTTGGGAAAAGCAGCCCTTTGCATTCACCCTTGGTGCAGTACCAGGGGAGAATTACAGCCCTGGCTTTTCCAACCAGGCTGCAGCTTTGTGTTCTTGGGCCTGCTATCTCCTTTGCAGGCTAGCAGAGTACCACTCCTCCCATCCCTGGTGGCTTTCAGATTTGAGTGCAGCCTCTCAGAGGCACCATGCTGGCAAGCCCTGCATGCTGCGCCTGGCCCAGGTGGCTGTGCTTCGTTCAGTGTTGCCAAGTATCATTTTTCTTCTAACTCCTTGTTCCTGGATTTAATAAATCCCGGACTATCCACCTTCCTCTTGAGCCAGAATCCTCCCACCATCAAACATACCCCATTTTGTGCCTTCCCTATCTGACAAAAAAATAATCTCCCCTACTTTTCTCCTTCATGCTTCTCTGTCTAAATCCTGAAGGCCTAATCCTGTTAGCATGCTCTTTTCCAAGGCTCTGTCTCCACGGGAGTAACATAATCCTGCCGTAAATCTAGTGGGTCCAAGAAGACATATACAAACAGATGAAGGCAGGGCTGCTGCCATCCTTGGCCTTCTTGTCTGCCTCCCCCCTTTTTCTTTCACTCCCCAAGAAATCTCACAGTGGCCAAGCAGCACTGTAAGTACAGCAAAGAGAGGGCGACTCATTCCCACTGCCTGCTCTGCTGCCTCTGCCTGCATGGGCCTATCTGTCTCCCATTTGTCCTTCACTCCAAGCCCTGGCACTGGCAGTGCCTGTGCCCGCTAGCACTAATGCAGCTCAGAAATGCTCCCATCACTCTGGGACAGTTGCAGAGCATCAGGAACACAACTCCTAAGTTCTGCTGGGAGATGTGTACGCATGGTGAGAAACATGGTAAGAGTCCTCCTCCAGCCTCTGCAGCTTCTCCTGCCTCTTGCTTTCTGCAGCAAATTAATTAAGCAGGTTGCTGCTCATTGATTATCAATTTAATTTTACATGTAGACCTGCTGGCTGGACTAAAACGTAAACATAAAGTATGTGGGGAGGAGACTGGTGGCTTTCTGATGCAGCGGTGAAAATGAGTTCCCTTGACTGCTTCTTGGAAGGTGCTTTTAATTTGTTAATGGTTTTCCCATTCGTCTTCTGGCTCTGTCACCGTCAGCGAATGCGTGCGCCTGCGTGTGCACGCTGCTGAATGTGCGTGCCCATTTCCCTAGATTGCAGCCAGGTTTTTTTTCTGCTGGTGTAAATTACTGTGACTTCTTATCCTTCGATGGCAGTATGTTGATTTACACCATCCGAAGACTTGGCTCCAACTATGTGCTGAGTGGGAAGGAAAGCAGCTAGGAGGGGAAGAATAGCAACATTCTATTTTGGTAAGGGGGAAGAAATCTTTTCTTTCTTGGCGCTCCGAATTTCACACATTTTCCTGCTAGTTCTTCCCATGCCGCGAGTGCTAATTTGAGGCAGGATGAGGAGCCTGCTCAAGTCAGTGGGGCTCTCCACAGTTCTCTCAGCTCTGGGAACAGCACATCCACAGGCTAAGGACCAGGCCCTGGTCAGTGATGCAGTGAGCTGCATGTGCGCCGTGTGTCCTCAGTGGGAAAGAGGTGTAAGGCCAGGCATGCAAGAGGTGCTCCAGCTGTACTGAGCACCTGTCCTCCAAGAACTGGGCTTCTCTCTGCTGTGCTGAACTGGGTACAAAGCTGTGACTTGCTACCATCAGCTTTTCAGAAACAAGGTATGGTTGGGACTGGAGATGGGAGTTGGGTGGCACTTCTGCTCTGGTGCACATGGTATCATGGCCACAGTTTGGATTTATGTCACTTAAAGAATGCAGTCCAGTTGGAGGAAATCACTGATCCACAAATCTAAAGCAGAGCTGAGGGTGCTCTCCTGGAAGCAGGTGGTTGGGACTGAGGTCACATAAGAGATGCTTTCAGCAATGTGTGTGGTAGTGATAAAGTTTTCTGGGCTCGGTCCCGCTTCTGCTTCCTGTCAAGCTTGACTTTGCAGAAATCAGCAACAAATTACATTGGTGTAAATTTGGATTCTGGCCCCTGATGCTCATATGTGTGAATTGAGCTAAAAAAGAACAAAGCTGCAAATATGTTAAACCAAAAAGAGCAGCAAACCTCATCAGCAACTGCTGAGCGTGCTGGTCCATATGCAACCTTTGGCTGCGGAGCCCTCCGACTGCTGGCTGCAGGAAGCAAGGGAGGCTGCCAGGAGCTGCTCCCTCCACTGCCACAGCCACCAGGAGCTGTTCCTGGGACATGGGGACCTTCGGGCTGGCCTGAGGTGCTCCTCCCGGGCTAAAATTGTGGCCCAAGCTCAGATAAACATTTCCTGTCCTCCGGTGTTAGGTTCAGTGGCAAGGTGTTGTGTGTCAGCCACTGTGCTAACATGGAGCTGGAGGCTGTGCTGTGGAAATGTGTCCTTTCAGCCTGTGCGTGTGTTGTGTGTCCTCACACGTATAACAAGACCTGCACACATGCCTGAGGAGCGGTACATAGTAAACGCTATTCTGACAGCCCTACTGCTGGAAAAAAGGGTATTTGATGTCTGCTGAGCAAGGGAAATGATGGGAAGTGGGGGTCAAAAGGGATAAAATAGGATATTAAAAGCACATAAACCATGCTGTGTCGCTGAATGATAACAGCATGATGTATATCTCCAGATTAGCATTTCTGCTGAAGTTCACATCAACTCCAAATCCTAATTACTATCCAGACTCGCTGCCAAAGCCCTCCATGGGCACGCCCTGTCCTGGCAGGAACACCCCCATCCTGGGCAGGACCCTGTGCTGCCATGGGGCTGCGAGCACCAGTGCCGTCCCTGCAAACACCTCCTGCCCACCACAGGGCACGAGAACCTTGGAGGAGAGCAGCCTGTGGCCCTGGGCAATAGGACACTTAAAAATGCTTCTTAACTCTTACTGGAGGCAGGAGAGCAGCGTACAGCCTTGCTCTTGTTCTGTCCTGACTCACAGGAATCTGCACTTGAATTGTTTGATGGAGCTCAGAGCCAAAGATTATGCTCCCCTGCTTTGCTATGAGATAAACTTAGCAAAGCTCCTTGCTTAGAATGTCTTATGCAGGGTGAGAAACTATGAAAGAGCCCAGCCAACACTGTGTACACAGGTTGCTCCTGGCTGAGGCCAGGCAATACTACAGCCCTGTCCCTGTCCCACATGTGCTATGAGGTAAAGGGGAGTGAGGGCAGCGTCAGTCTGGGAACGTTAGCGCTGTGTGCTGGGTTGGAAATGGCCCTCAGATTGGGTATCTTCTCTTTCCCCCCTTTTGTTCCACTCGTGGCTCCATAGCCTGGAACAGAAGCACAGCTACCTAGTTCTTGCCCGGCCTGTTAGAGTTATGGAAGGGAGGGGTGGATCTAGCATCCATCTGGTAGTTATTGATTACGGCCATCTGGTAAGACAACAGCTTTTTTGTATCATGTCGGATCATAAACTCTCTCCTAAAGCTGTCTCTGTGAAGGGCTGTGCATGCACTGGGGAGCAGGAGAGGGGCTGCCTGAGATGGCAGCTCAGTGCCCAGGGCAGGGGCTGCACCCTCCCTGCTCCTGCTGCTGCTTGTGTGCGGCGCTTCCCCACGGTGCTTCCCAGTGGAGCTCAGTGTGAGGTCCAGTCAGGATGGGCGAGTCCCTCAGTCCACCACCAGTCCTGCCAGCAGCTCAGCTCTTGCTGTCTGCCCTGGGGCTTGCCTGGCCAAAGGCCAGCCCTTCCCAGAAAAGCCTCTCCTCATTTTTCCCTGCTGAGGTTGTTTGTTTTGACTTCTGACCTGGTTATTTCTTTCTGCCACAGGAGAACATATTTGTATTTTCTGTATTGCAGACGTTTCAGGCCAATGAGGATGCCACAGAGGTGGTTCTCAACAAGATCCACAGCCCAGTGCTCACACGCTTTGTGCGCATCCGTCCCCAGAGCTGGCACAACGGCATCGCCCTGAGGCTGGAGCTGTATGGCTGCCGCATCACCGGTGAGCATCTCCCTGTTCCCACCAGCTCTCCTCTCTGTTCCTCCAGCACTCTGTCCCAGGCTGTGACAGCTGTTTTGGGCAGCAGTGGTGGCACTGCAGGTGGCACAGAGGCACCTATCCCTTCAGCTGTGCTTAGGGAAACCAGGGCCCAGCCCCTGGAAGCAAGAGAAAGCACTTAGTGCGGCTTCAGTGCGCAGAGCTTAAACTTGCAGAGGAAACCACAAGTGCCCTCTTCCTCCTTCCTGGCTGCTCACACCCTCTCTTTCCCTGCAGATTCACCCTGCTCCAACTTGCTGGGGATGCTTTCTGGCCTCATCCCTGACTCGCAGATCTCAGCCTCTTCTATCAGAGGCTATGACTGGTCCCCCAGCATGGCCCGCTTGGTGAGCAGCCGTTCAGGCTGGTTTCCACGCATTCCCCAAGCCCAGCCTGGGGAGGAGTGGCTGCAAGTGGACCTGGGCGTCCCAAAGAACGTCAAAGGTGTCATTATCCAGGGGGCTCGCGGAGGGGACAGCGTGACCACCACCGAGTCCCGCTCCTTTGTGAAGAAGTTTAAGGTAGCCTACAGCATGAATGGAAAGGACTGGGAATTCATCCAGGACCCCAAAACGATGCAGGCCAAGGTAAGCACTGCTTGGAGCAGCTGCAAAAAAGTGATATGCTTTTGGCTATCTTCAGTCTGTCTGAAGATGTCTTTGAAAATTAGCTTTTGTTTTGTTTGCAGTTATTTTGGGAATTTGAATTGTCACTATGAAAGGTTACATCCCCTGGTTCTGCTTTTAAGCTATATTAGGGGATGTAGGTTCCACCTAGTCCGAGAGATAGTAGCTTCACTTCTCACTACAGACCAGGCATGGGGATGTGGACAATATTTTCTGCTCTTTCCAGCTTCTGCAGGTCAGAGCCAACAAGATAATGTGTCAAATTTTGTTTGACACAAACTATTTGCATATTTTAAGGGCAAAGATGTTACTGTTCAGTCTTGCAGCTCTGGAACGGGAGAACGAATCACAATCTTTGGGAAATCTGCTATATTAAGTTCTCTATACCACACCAGCATAAGCCTGAAATCTCATGTAATTTTCCCATGTTGTTGGAGCTAGCCATAATCTTTCTGCTTAGTATTGTGGGGGTGGTAGGGGGCTTGAGGAATAAATGAATTATCTGCTACTGCCAAGAATTTTGTTTTTATGCAAACTCATCTGCTCCTGAAAGTTTAGGTATGTTTTAATTTTTCCTGGTCATAAAAATGAGTTTTTAGAAGACCTGATGCTATCTATAGCCCTGTGTTTATTCTCCACAGACTTCAGTTCATGCACTCATGCTGAAAAATGGCAGTACTTACAACTGTACAGAAAACTGAGTGTTTGCACTATCCTAGAACATGCAGTAGCTTTCTTACTTGCCAAAGGACAAATCTGATTTTGTTTATACATGAAGTGAGTGGATGTTCCACACGCTTTCCTGGTGAGGCTTGGATCAGAATCTAGTCCCTGGATATGAAGCAGAGGCCAAGGGAGATCATGCAAATTTCTTGGAAACAGCCTATTTGGTCCTCTTGAAATTGAGGAGGAGCAGCCCAGTTGCTGCTCAGCAGTATTCACTGCCTTGCAGTTGAACAGCTAAACTATTTCAAATCATGGCTGTGTCCTACCAGACCCGTATATCTGGGCTGGTGCAGAGCAGGTGGGATGTATGTGTCACGAACTTATCCTCTCTCTGCAGCTCTTTGAAGGCAACATCCATTACGATATCCCTGAAATCCGGAGGTTTGACCCTGTTCCTGCCCAGTACGTCCGAGTGCACCCAGAAAGGTGGTCCCCAGCAGGAATAGGAATGCGTCTGGAAGTGCTGGGATGTGACTGGACAGGTAGGACACCTGTGCTTTCACCCACTGGTTGTGAAAGGGGCTGAGCCAGCAAGACAAGAGTAAGGTTATTTCTCTCCCTGCTGTCCCACCTCAGGCTGATGTGGGGGCAGGGAGCCATGAGTGCAGGAGTGGCGTGAGCCCATCTTTTTTCCTCCGTCTTAAAAGCAAGTTAGGTCTGGGGCTGGCCTTGAAGTGGGATGTAGTGCAATGCCTGAATGCCAATTCAAGCTTTCCCAAGGAGCCACATGTGGGATTTACCCCTGCCTCTCCTCTACTCCTTTTGAATCTTTTATCTGGATGTTGTGCAGGCTTTTGCACTCCCAGTGTTAGTTAGACAATATATGCACTTTTCAACCCAAATGAATAAGACAAAAAAGTAGGAAGAGGAGCAGAGGCACAAAAGTGGAGTGCTGGGACTGCTGCAGCTATCTTGAGCTGCCCCAATAAGGCTTTACTAAGAAAAGAGAGCTATCCCTCTCATCAAACCCCATGTGGAAATCCTACTGCAGAGAAGACTGGGGAGTTAGCTTTACAACATTCCTAAGAACAGGGAAGTTTGTTCACTTTTTTTGCCCACCTGTTTTTCACAAGTGAAACATCTTGCAGATGCCATTATTTTTAATGCAGAAGTGAAAACTGTCTAACACACTCACTGGGATCAATAGAGGCTGTGCCTCTGACCCCTCTAAGGCTCAGTCATGATTGATTGCTCCTTAGTTTCATCCCCAAAAACCAAAAATGCACCCAACAGTTCATTGTGTCTGATGCTTTTCAGTGCCAGGGGCTAGTGGTCCTTTCTTTTTCTTTTTTAAATTATTTTAATAATCCGCTTAAATCTAAATCTGGTGTCCAGATGTCAGCAATAAAGAGGTATGATTTCCATTTGATAAACACATCTGTACAAAGCATTTTCTTACAAGAATTCCCATTCTTAGAAACTTAAAAGACGCAGAGCTTTTTTTTCCAGCCTTTTGTGTAGTGGTTACTAGCCTTTCCTCCTGTGAAGTTCTGTGTGATGCATTACAAATGTTAGCAGCAAGTACAGAACACATATACACACGATTAACAATGATAATTTGTCACCTTTGAAATCTACGGCAAATCTTTCCCTGGACTGCAAATATATTGTAGACAATCTAAACCTCAATATTAAAACTTAATTTAAACCTTATGACATCTTTGGGATGACAGGCACAGAGGCTTCCGTGCAAGCAGTGGGAGCTGAGGCTCTGCAAAGAAGCGGTTGGGCAGCCCCCACACCACTGCTTCCCGCAGCTCCCGGGCGTTTTCTGGCTGCCAGATCTCTGGCCCACTGCTGGCACATGCATCACACCCCAGTACCCTGATGCCATGCTCTACTCTGACCATGTCTGTGTCAGCCCCTCCACAGCACTCCCTCAGATTAAAAAGCCAAAGAAATGCAACTTCCTCCATTTCTAGTCCTATTTTTAGTCCAAATTTTCTTTTATGGCTGTGTCCGTGTTCAATTTCAGTATCAGCAGCGACAGCCGATGTTTTTTCCAGGCAGGGTGCTTTATGGTCATTTCCCAGTGTGGCTGTCTAATCATTTGCACGTTGTAATGTTTAAAACACAACTGCCAAGTCATAAATATTTTTTAGCTTTATTGATCTACAAGCATTCCGCTTTGTAATCAGAGCCGGGCTTGTAATCTTGTGGATTCACCATGTTACAAAGAGTGTTTAGATCACCAGTGAAACCTGGGGAGCAAAGATAGCCCATGGCTTTATCTGCATGCTAAATGCGGTCCCTGATGCAGGCAACACAGCCCTCCTTTGCTGGGAGGATTCAGGCGTGTTACAGAACTGGCTGTGAAGACTCAGGCAATTGCACTTGCTTGGAAACAAGATTAAGAGATGGATTAAAGCAAGCTGATTAAGAATATTTTCAAATGAGGGCCAAAGCCAATGTGTGCCCTGCCCAGCTGTTTTCATTTCTTATCAGCAACGAGCATCTTAATTACAGAATCAACCAGGTAACTTGGCAGCAACCAGGCCTGTAAACTAGTTGGCTAGTAGCTCAAACACAGTGAAGCAAGCAGTCTGCAATAGGCTTCTTTCAAAGACCTGCCAATTTTTTTCCTCTGAAGAGTGGAGATTGATGAATGTTCACTTGCAGCTGGTCTTCTCTCCTTTGAAGTTCCAAACATCTGGTTTCAATTGCTCGGTGACTTTGCATTTTGATCATCCGTTACCACCAGTTGCACAGACACTTGCTGGGCCAGGGAGAGAGAAAGCGAGCAAGAGACCACTGTTTTTCACTTTCCATTTCACACGTCGCATTGTCCTCCCTGCTATTTTCATTATCTCATGTAACCATCTTGTTGCGGCTCTGCCATGGTAACTGATTTTTCAAGATATATTTCTGCGGCTTGTCTGGGGCAATGCAACACTGCTGATTTACATCCTCTCAGCATCTGTATCCCGTATGGGACTTGGCTTTCAAGGTCCTTCCACATTGTCACATTTCAGCTATAAATCTCAATATACAAGAACAACAACCTAAAAAATGTACCGGCTCTAAATAACATGCAGCTTTTGATACGTTGCCTTCACCTGCTGCTTTCTCCCCCTCACCCCCCTTCTTTTTTATGACATTTTTCTGTGCCTGGCTGCTTGCAATTTGCTTCTTGGTTGTGTTTGGAGTTTTATGGGGTTGTAACAAATTTGAACTTACAAATTAAAAGACTTTGAGGTTATTTGGTATTTTACTTTGAACAAAAGACAACCACCGGGAAAAAAAAGGGAAAAAAAACCTGAGTCTCTGTGCAGCATGTTTAATAACAGGAAAATAAAAGGGCAGAAAGGAGCCTATGGAAAATATTCAATGTATTTAGCCATTTCCTCCTGCTTCTGGCTTTATTAAATGATATCCTGAAGGGTGCCGACAAAGCAACACAATCACACACAAGTGAGCAAAGCAGCCTCTTTTTGAAAGAGGAAAGAATAAAGGCTGCTGTACTCCAGTTAGCGCACCCGTAAAAGGAGAGCCTGCTGAAATCTAATGTCGTTTACTGTTGATCTTAATATCCTTCTCTTTCTTGGTTAAATTTCCCCTGACACCTGCTTTGAGGTTGTTTCACACGGGCCATGTTGGAGAGAGGGAGATTGGACAGAGACACTTTAAAAGCGTAGTCAGGAGCCTGGAGTGTGAAACCAGATGCTTTCTGCAGTGAGCCAGAGCACACCAGGGGATTCTCTGGGTCCGCTTGTGGTTACGTCATTTGTGGGTTTGAGTGACTTGTTTTATAAATTGGCACAACTGGTGGGAATGTTGCGTGTGTGTTTTTCGTGTGTCATATGCCTTTATGAAGGAAGAGATGTTCTGCCTGTGATCTCTGTTATCCAGTAACTACAGCCAAGAGGACTGCCAACACCCGTGTAGATTAAAAAATGAAGAAAGAAAGTAGCATGTATGTCTGGAGGCGAGCACTGTCCAACAGGGACTCTAAATCAAAGGAACCCCCCCTATGGAAACAGCCAGTTCACACCAAGTTCAAACCACACTGACATTTGTAGCGTACGGAAGTTTTGTGGTACTCTTGTCCTGTCTTCCTGCCATTACAAGAACATGAGAAAAAGACTTTTTGCTTTGTTTCCCATTACCTGGCCTTCTTGTACCACCTATTGCACACAACATCTCTACTCCCTGTTTTGCAGATGTGAAGCCCACTGCAGAGACGCTGGTGCCCACTTTGAAGAGCGAAGAGACCACCACCCCATACCCAACTGATGAAGAGGCAACTGAGTGTGGTGATAGCTGTGGAGAAGAGGAAGGTATGTATCAGGAAAGTACATCTTTATCTCAGTAAAAGATGGTTTCAGAGCTAAGAAAGCACTCTTATCTTCCTATTTGCTCCTGTATATGGGCCTGATTCCTGGAAAGCTTTCAGTAATGTTATTAGCAATAGATTGAGATTAAAAAAAAAACCCTACCCAAAATCTGATAAGTTATATCAAGGAAGGATGCAAGAGCAAGACAGATAGCAACTAATTTAGTCCCTAGGGTATAAGACTTACACAGCTGCTCTCCCAGTTTCCTTACATGACCTGAAGCAGCTCACTGAGGGCCCTCTTTTGTACCAGATCCTTCTGGTTGCATGTCATAAATTCAGAAGGTGATTCAGGGAGAGATTCAGACTGCCTGTCATGAAGGGCTCCTTTTGCAGAGATCACAAACGTGGGAGTAAATCACAACATGCAGAGAAGGCAGGTGTACTGAAGACAACCTGTCTTGTGAGGATCATCTTGTTTAATATCAAATGCTTAAAAATTAGAAGGACAGACTGGGCTCCTTGCGCAGGCAGGAGGGGTGAAATACTAGCTGCAAGCAGCATTTTGCCCCCCCCTTTCTTAAATGGCTGTCAGATATATGGGGGATGGTTTGGTATCTGTGGTGCTTGCCTGCCTCATCTGAAGAGGCTGAACGTTTTAGGCTATGTACTCTGCTTGTAAAGAGCTGATGCAACAGGGAGACTAGTCCTCTCTGCCTCAGATCCTTACCTGTAAAACAGACATCTTACCCTTCTGCTCCTTTCAAGGGCAGGGTGAGCATCTAAATCTGGAAAAGATCAGATTAAGAGGGAGGGCATGGCAGAGCCTTGTGGGGTTGGATGCACAGCACAGCGTACAGAAGAGGCACACCTCTGGGCATAGCAGCAGGGCCTGGGCCTCAGCAGTGAGGCTTGGGCATTTACGCAAAGACCGCAATGAGAAATCTCATGACAAAATGCTGTCCTTTGTGATCATTCCTAGGACTTCTGTTACTGCATCTTCTAGTCCCAGAGAAAAAAATTAATGGATTTTTAAATATATAAATTAAAAAAAGAAGATTAATTGTCTTTTTCGTCCCCCCCACTGGGATTCTGCTGTAGTTCAGTTCTGGAAATGCAAGTTACAAAAGCAGCTCAAAGGGCCTGATTCTAATTTCTTTGCCTCGATGATGAGCCTGTGCTACCCTGCTACCAATGAGGCACTTGGGAAGCTGCCGAGAGGAATTTAGGCCAGTAACAATCTATGCAGCAAGATGGTTCCTGGGTGAAGTCCAGTGCAAGAGGGAGTGGAGTATGCTTTGGAGCAAGGAACCAGCCTCCACGTCAGCTTCACTCAGATTTAGCAACAATTTTCATTCTCATACTTCATAAACAATGAGTGTGTTTCTCTCGACAATCAGATTTATGACAGCCAAACAGAAATAATGCTGCTCTCCAGGGTATGAGATTAGGTTGGAATAAAAGGATCCATGATCTGCATTGTTTTATTTCTAAATGAGAATGTGAAAGAAAGCTCTGTGCCCCTCACAGCAAAGTTCCCTGATGCCTATCGCTTGAGTCACTCACCTCCTTCTGGATATCGCTCGGTTTGCTGGCACTGTAATTTAGAACTTCCTCTTTGCTCAGGAAAAACCCAGCCTATAATTGGTCTCTGACGTGCATGTCCGCTGAGTGCTTGGGATGATCTCAGGCCATCTCTGCAGCCTCCGTGCCTTATGGCTGCTTCCCCCACTGAGGGAGCCAGCAGCTGCCTCGCTGCTACATGCAACCCTTGGCATGTGCCCTCCTGCCCACAGACCTGTCTCTGCAGGGAGGCTCTCCAGAGCTTTTAAAGCTCTTGACACAGAGGAATTTGCTCTGCTCCTATTTCACAGCTAGAAACTTAAAGGGCGCACCCAAAGACCATGTGGTGAGTCCATAGCAGAGCTAGAAATAGAGGCTGTCTCCTTTCACTCAGAATCCAAGAGCTTGAGCTCATAGTGGCCCCACATTTCCCCTGGTAACGTTTCTATGAGAAGGTAGGAAGCGATGAGTGACAGCTCGCCACGTTGACAGACAGCTCCCGTCTGGTGCAAGTGGCTAGATCTGTCACTCAGGAGCTGGGATTTTGGAGCACTTGAGAGTCTCCATTTGGAGCCAGAGCAGGAACTGAGGAGCACAGGGACACTCAGGAAGTACTCCTCCCTGACATTTAAGAAGGCATTTAATATTTGACCAGTCTAGGGGGTGAAGAAAAGGTGCTGATTGGAGTCTAGAAGCGTTTGGAGCTTGCTTTTATATTTGCTTAGTTTGGTGGATTAACTGCGGGATGTGGTGTGGGCATTTTCATGATGCAGAACTTAAGACTGATCCCTGGAGCTGACGAAATGTGAGATAGGTTAAAAGCATCAGTCTGAGTGAGATTTCGTGCTTTCTTCAGTATTTATGACTTGCTAACCATTTTAGTGGATTATTTTGTTTTTAATCCAAGTTTGTTTTCTTTCTGTTTTGCTTTCTAAGATTTCCATCTTCCTGCAAACTTCAACTGCAACTTTGATCCCCCTGAAGACCTGTGTGGTTGGTCACATGACTTGGCAGTGGGCTACACGTGGTCTTTTCAGTCTGCAAGCACCTGGATGGGCAACTCTGAACCAAGTCCCGAGACTGTGCCTGGTAAGATGATTAATGTCACAGTGAAGTAGGGAAGAGGGAGCTGATGGGCCTTTTTCCTTGTGAACAGGATGACTGATTATGCACAGCTATCAGGAGTTGCAAAGGCTGTGCAAAGCTGAATGTTTTCTTTTGTGGAAGCTTTCAGATGCTTTGTTTTATGGGTTCATGACTTATTTATAGGACTGTGACTGCTGGCACTGAGTTGTACTAACTATCCTCTTGAGATAGTCTTGAAGCAGAGACTGGGTTTTGAATCCCCAGTGACTGTGTAGGCTGGTCCATGCTTTGTTCCACATCCTGATCCAAATGTCCCCTACAAGACCCAACGTTTTTTTCTCCAGAATGCGCTTCCTCTTTTGTTAGAGGTGTGTTTTCTGCCTCCCATATGTTGCTTGGTTTGCCTACAGTTTTCAGCTATTCTGCACTCTGGGCATGCATAGGCTGAATTTCAGCCTCCTCTCAGTGAAGGATGATGTAAGCCCTAAGAATGCAGAAATATGCCAGCTACTTGCTGTTTGACTTTTGCTCTTTTTCTCTGCTTTGAAAGCAGAAGATTTGCATGTGTGTGGTTGAGCCTAATTTATGGAGGACCTCACTGAGATGGGTTGGCATGGGTTGGAAGGGGGCCTGCCTCTGGCACTGTGGTTGACGCATGGCATTCTGTAGCTTCACGTCTTTGAAGCTGCTCTGGGACTAGTGCTGTCTCCTTACTGTTCTCAACTTTATGGCATGAGTTGCGTGAAGGACATTTTCTGGTTTCCATGTGACAGTAGCCTGTGGCACTGTGACATCTCTTCACGTTCATTCGTTGCTTATGAAACCCAAGGCTCCATCAGGGAGAGCTGGCTGATGTTCTGGGCTTCAGCTCTGCCCTGTGCCCGGTGACTCCAGTGTCAGCACACCACATGCCCAGGGAGCTGTGTGTGCCTCAGGCTCCTCCCAGCTCTCCCAGTCACCCCAGTGAGGTTGAGTCTGGAGATGCAAACATTCGGGCGAACCTGTTAGCCACCTGGCAGAGGCGCTGGCCAGATTGGCAGCGCTGGCAGCCAGTTGGAAAGCCGTGCAGCCAACACCTGGTAGGCAGTGCTAAAGAGGAAAATATGTATTCCAGAAACATATGGGAAGAGGAGAATCTGCTACATCTCCACACACAAATCACCCCCACACAAACGCACACATCATTTTTCTCTTTGGATCCTGAGGTGCCCAGCATTTTTCTAAGAGACACAGTAATGCCGTAAGCACAGCCTGTATGGACATCTGACAAATTCTTTGGTGTGACATAGGGTCACAGTGTCTGCCATGGAGAAAAACATTTTCATATTTCAAGTGTTTATCTCTTCAGCATTTGAGTGCTTTAGAAGATTAATATCTGGAGATCAGTGGAGCCTCAGGCAACTGGAGAGAACACTTACAGCCAGCCCCAGACTTAATAACCCTCCCCATCTCATTCGTTGTAATAATGTTTAATTAATATAAGCCTCCTGCAAGTAGGATAAAAATTACTTATTTTTATAACTCAGACTCAATTTTTCATTTCATTTCCTCTCCCCCGAGTCTCCCTACAATTAGTTGGCCATAGTTTCTTAGAAGATTGTGAGTGTATGCTGGTGCTGCATCAGACATCTTAGCATGCGGTTCTGGATTTTACCCTTCTCCTACCCTTTCTTTTCCCTTAACAAGTTACGAATTGCAGGACCCCCAATCCCTTCAGCAAGGAGACCTTTCTCCTGCTGAGTTCAGCGCTCTGGTTTGGTGCCAGCACAGAGAGCAATCCCTCACTGCACTGCGACCTGCAGTGGGGTGTCCCTGTGGGCACACACAGGCACTCAGACACTGTCAGGAAGTCACAATCTGTATGAGCAGAGGGAGGGGAAGAGGCAGCAGCTCCAGAGGCCTGAAGTGATGTTCCCATGGCTGTGGAGGAGCACAGCAGACAAGCTATGAGCATGGCAATTTCTGATCCCCAGTCATTTCAGCTGCCAGAGGCTTGCAGCTGCTCACAGTGACTCGGAGCCGTGCTCTGAAGCAGCATGGGTGTCCCTTGTTCTGGTCACATCTTGAGCAGCTGTGGTCATGACACTGGCCACACGGCCTCCTGACTGGCTGGGTTGGCAAGGGGTACAGCCATGTGCTTGCCTTGCCCACACAGCACAGGGCTGCGGAAGGGCTTTGGTCCTTCTCTACAAAATTAAGAGGACAAGACACAAAGGGAAACAGCTATTTGCTTTTTTCCTCCCTGCATAGCTTTTAACAAAAAAACCAAGGAACATGAAAAAGAGGCAGCGCTTGCCCCTCAGCGGGGACAGAATCGAAGCATTGTTTGGTTCGCACTCCCCCATTCTTCCCCTGGCTTCCCCTCACGCTCCCTCCAGCACTTTGTTTCTACTTAAAAAATTCATCCACAGACTCCAGGGAGCAAAGAATGAAAAGCTGTTGTTCGGGGTGGTCTTTTCTTGTGAGTTCCCCACCCCAGGGTGAGCAGTTGGGTGAAGCAGAGCAGCTGTGCTCGGTTTAGGGGAGGGCAGAAGCCAATGGGAACTCAAAGCCATTGGAGCACCATTTACTCTCATTTAAAGGTGCAGCTCTAGCCAGAGCCTGCGATCATTCCACAGTAGCAAGGAAATATGCTGTGCCTTTAAGAGCCATGTGGGATATGTTTCTATTTCTTTTGAAAGTGGCAAAACAAAAATTAAAATTAAATGGGAAAAAGTAATAATAAAAGGAGGAGCCCCGATTCAGCCTGTGTGAGAGGGGCGGGAAGGAAATGACCATGCTGAAATATCCTCTGTGAGGCGGTTGATTAGAAAAATCTGCTGAGAGACAGGCCTGAATTCCTCAGATATCGCCTGATTTCATTTTATGCACTGCATGCAATTCCTCCTTGTCTTTGGCACAGAGAACTACTTCTTGAGACTGAGAAGACACCCCCTGCTCTCGTTCCACTATTTTTATTTCCAAGATACTCTATCAGGCAGCTCTGCGTTTCTTTTTTTAGTGCTGTGTTCCTTGGGCCCTTCGCACCATGGATTAGCTCCACGTCCTCTCCTGCAGGCTCCCATTACACGGCTGGAGACCTGGTGGTGAGCATGGACCCAAAGTGCCCCACTCAGCAGAAACCTAGCATGGGTCCAGCTGCTGCCCTGCCCTTTGCAAGCCTGGAAAATGCTGTTGCTCCCTTTTACATTGCCCCCTTGAGAAGCTGCCAGAATTTTTCCGTCCATGGATTTTCAGATGCTTCCTATCTGTAAAACGTTTCCCCTTTGCTGCACCTAGCAAACTTCAGGCAGCATCATGTTCAGGTTTCGCCTCCTCCTGCTACATGCAATGGCAGTGTGCCATTGGTGTCAAGATCTTAAGGATCTGAAAATAAATCTGGTTGGTGAGTTGGGCAGCTCTTTGAATTTCACCAGGAGAGTGTGCAGGACCTGGGTCACATCCTCAGCTGGCAGGTGCAGTTGCATTGCTCTCCGTGGTGCCACATGAATAAGCCATTATGAGAAACTGGATTAGGTGTGCTTTGCTCACTTTCTCCCTCCTCTGTTCTTGCAGGGCTTTAGCAAATACCTTGTGGTCCCAGCAAGGCACCACAGATCTGCGTCTCTTTCATACCCTGCTTTCTGTTTGGTCCAAACCTGTGGCCAAGCTGTAAGCCCAGCGCTGTTCAGACAGATGTGCATGCAGGAAGAGCAGTTGGAGCCTTGTAGCTCTTCTGGCCAGCTGGGTCCTGTACCAGGCTGCAAAACCCACCAGGAGCTGCTGCTGCTGGTGTGGCCCCGCTGGCCCTGAGGTGAAAAATGCTGCTCCTTGGGCTGCAGGCGCTGCAGGGAAAGGTTTATTTGCTTCAAAGTGTTTCCAGCAGAGGAATGTTTTTAGTGCTCTGAAGTTTCATAAGAGCTTATTTTGTAAGGAAAACAAATCCCGAGTTGTTTTTATGCTGGTGGTGACCCTTTACCATTTCTTTGTTTTTCCCATGGGATTCTTGGGAGGAAAAACTTTATATTTTTCCTGCAATCCATGAGAATTTCTGCCTGAACTCCTTGATCCTGCTCTGTCCAACCCAGCAGAAAGGTTTTCTTTGTGTTAATGGATCTGGACTGGGCTGGGTCTGCACTCTCATAGGGCTCACACTCAGGGCTCATGCCTTGGGGACATATCCTGTCCCCTTTGAAGCAGGAGGGAGCTTTGTGGTGTGGGGTGCAGACTGCATCTCACAGAGCCAAGCACGGTTCTCCTTCCTACATTTGCATGAGGACAGCACACCCGAACATCATTTGTCCCTGCAGCACAGTGAGGTTGGGCCTCCTGACCCCAGGGCACAGAGTCTGACTGGGTTGTGCTGGGCTGCGCTGTGCTGGGGCTAAGCATTGGGCTGGGCCATAGCCGGCTTTGGTTATGTGCTTGTCCCTGCACTGCCAGCAAAACTCATGCTTGCCAGGAGCATGAGGCAGGGGTGAAGAAACCATTTCTCTTAGGCTCACCCCTTTTATTCATAGCTTGCCTTGTTGAGTCCCTAATCGCTTTTGTGACCCAAAAGCCAATGACACACACTGACTGTAAAACCAGGCAGGAAAGCCAGAAGCTGTCTCTCAAATCTCAGTGCATACATCATTCCATGCCTTAGCAGCTCGTGAGTCACAGAGCCTCATTTGGGTAAGCGTGTGTGAGCAGGCAAGCAGAGACGCATGCGAGCAGCGTGCGCAACAAATGTACTGCTCAGTGGGTTGGTGCCTGTCATTGTGCATGCACACAGCTGGGTGCAGGAAGGCCTGTGTGCACCTTTCATGTGGCAGTGCACGCTGCCTGCTGGGCTGGAGCTGGGTGCCGCACGGGTAGCAGCCTGCTTAGCTAAATGTCAGGTGCTAATTGGCACCTGGCTTGTCAGGGGCACCGTGCCCTCCCTGCGTGCCCAGGGGGAGGCTGAGGGACTGCGGCCACACGGCGCTGAGAAGGACAAGAGGCTTAATTAAGAGAGGGGATGTAATGGCCCGTCCATTAGCCGGGCTCCATGGGCAGGTTGAGGGCCTGGCACCAGGCAGGTGCAGCGTTTTATGCCTTTTCATGGACTGATTTAGATACTGAAATGGCAAGGACTTGGCAGGCTAATTAGCACATAATCAAAATTGAGGGAAATTTCCAGCAGACGCAGTGATCTAGTTAATATAAATATTAGTTTTACAGAGGATTGATTTCCCTTTGTAAATGAAAGTCTGTCATTGAGGAGAGGCCTGTCACTGCAATTACAGTGGCAGCTTTTTGAGGTGAATTTGCATGATTTGCCAAAAAAATAAAAATATAAAACTACCCAATCTCAATCAGCATATTCATCTGCTGTCATCCCCTGCACTGGAGCACCCTGCTGCCATGGAGAGGCTGAGCTCTCCCCTTCTGCAGGGAAAAGCAGGGCTGATACAGCCTCAGGTCACAACCCCAGCATGATGGCAGGGCACGAAGCAGGCTTTACTGGGACATCCCAGAGTGGCATTTGTGGCTGTGCAGGTATCAGGGCCCGGAGAAGTGGGCTGTAGTGCTGTCACTAAAATACACCCTGAAACAATCTCTGCAATGGGGAAGAGTGCAGTGACCTTTGGAGCTGTGTACATGAAGGCAGTGCATTGTGCAGCCTCTATAGGAGCAGTGGCTGTAAGTCAGCAATACCCAGCGAGGGGGAAATGCTATAGGAACCTGGGGTGTGGGTAATTGCTTGTGTACATCCTGCCCAACATGTTTTGCTGGAAAACCTCCAGGTGTACTGCTGACACCAGCAAGGGAACGTGTGTTTCTCTGGAGAGGGGCTGTGGCATGCAGGACCATGTACTCAGGCTGGCTGACCTTGGCAAGGGAGCGGCTGTTTGGTTCCTGGCTGCAACCTGACCTGAGGTACAAGGCTGCATCCCCCCATGTCCTCTCAGATGGCCTGCTGGCAGGAGGGGATGGGCACGCCAAGAGGAAACTGCGTGGGCCAGATGGTTCGTTTGCAGAGCCCGGCTGGTGATTTATCTGGGCTCACTGCCGTACACATACAATGCTTCCACCGTCGTCTGGCTGGGGATGGTTGCATGTTCACGCTCCTCTGGCTCCTCCACATCCAGATGAACCCATAAATCTTCCATGAGATTTATGCAGTAGCATCAGTTGCAAAAACAGCAGTAGGTTAAAATGCCTGAGCAGGTTTGTCCTGCCGTTCTCTGCGCCAGGGTTTTGAGCTGCCAGTACTTCAGTGGGGAAGCGACTGCCACGTGAGCTGGAGCAGGGGCTGCAAAGTCCTGGGAAAGAGATGAAAATGCATTTCTGATCCTAGAAAAATTGATCGGCTCATCACTGCAAGGCTCTCTTTGAGCATCTTAGCAGGGGAAATCAGCCTTTCAGGTGCCTTCTGTGCCAAAACCTTCCATTTACTGTATCAGTGACTTGTGGAACCACCAGGCTCCTGCACACAGCTCCAATAATCACCTCAGTAGTGCGCTTGCTCAGTCAACCTCAGCAAATTTGTGGGTCTCTCAGAAGGTGCAGCTATCCACTACAGTGATCCAGCCAGTTCATCTTCAAATGACACACAAATGTCTGCTTATGCCCAGCTGTCCGTCGCAAAGGTTGTCCCAGCAAGGTGCCCAAAGCCATGGCACAGGTGAGCAGTTGGGTTCATTACCCAAAGCCTGAGCCTCCCCACAACCCTTGGGATTGCTGCAGTGCTCTCAGGGCCCTAGCAAGTGCTGGACAGGGAGCACAGGAGATGTGAGCTTTGGATGCACCCAGAGATCATAGAATCATAGAATTACACAGATTGGAAGGGACCTCAAGGATCATCAAGTCCATCAAGCCTAACCATAATACCCTAACTCTGACAAACTCTGCTAAATCGTATCTCCGAGGATGGCTCATGTCCCACCCCTCAGTCGGGCTGCCTAGATCCTGGCACCAAAATGGATGCTCCTAACACTTGAGGATCCAAATTGGATCATTTGTGAGCCTGGGTGGTGCTTTTAGTAAGGACTGCCTTTGAGACCCTTTGAGCTGTGAGATAATTGTGTGAGTGTAGTTTGGTTTGCTTTTCCACCTTGTTGTTTGTTTCTTGTTGTTGCTTTTTGCTTTGAAGAAGCTTGTAGTGAATTACAGAAAGAGGATTTTAATTCAGGAGACTTTGATGACTTATTATGCCTTATTGCTCCTTAGGCGCAGAGTACAGCTTGTGCTTTTTTTCCTTCTTCCACTTGTTTATCTCCCACATCTCCTCCTGCACCACCACCACTCTGAGGTAAATCACGAGAACACTCCTGCATTAGAGAACGGCATGGTACTTTCTCAAGTGATTTCACTCAAGCAGGAGTGGGCAAACATGCTTTCATCTTTTTTTCTGCTAATGTTTGTTGGCATAAAGTGCCAAGTGACCCAAGTGCATTTCATAGGTCCCGGAAAATAGTGCTGGAAAATGTTGCTCTTTCTGTATATGGCCGATCAGGGACAGATTTGTCCTTCATGCAGTGAAATCGCTGAAAGTTCATATGGAGTGGATACGCTTTTGCTGTATTTCGGTCATACATCCCAGGAGCAGAATGACGGCAAATCTTTCTGCTCTCTTGTCCTGCATTTATTTTAGAAGCCATGTATCTCACAGCCATTGGTTCCAGCCCATCTGTGTGGCAGTGACAGGCGAGCGGCAGGGCCAGTGGCTGTGCAGCCACCGACACAGCTCACTCAGGCTGCCATTTCACCAAACTGCTGTGGGAGCAGCGAGGTTGGCTCCAGTGTTCTGGATGGAGTTTGTCAGGGCTCTCAGATTTTGGTTTTGGAGGTGTTTGGGTGCACTTTCAAAGTGCAGACACTGCTCTTCTGCCATTGCTGTGGGTGCTGAGTTAGTCTATCACATCCAGGTGTTTTCATCCATGCTTTGTTTTTTTGCTGCTATCAGTATTCAGCTCAAGCATCTCCATAAATAACAAGTATCCCAAATCTCCCTGAGCACCGGCAAAAGGCATGGCACAGTTTTAAAAGTAATATTAAAGAAAGCAAATCCCTTCTGTCTTTCAACCACCTTCAAGTTTGCAGCTACCCAGACATCATATGTGCTTACCTTGCTCGCTAGGTCCAGGTCCCTCCTCTGGGCTGTGCTTTAGGACTGTTGTACCACATGGAGGAAAAGCTGAGACCCAGGCTTTCAATTTATCATGGCTGTCCTCAAAACAAAGTTGTCAGCAGTATCCTGACTGAGGACCTGCTGTAACTGTCAGGGGTGACCCTGCTCCCACAGCACCTTCCTGGCCACGCAGGAGGTGAGATGCTTGTTGCACGTGGATGCAGGAAATACTATAACTGGGTTTTCCTCTCCAAACAGATGTCAAGAGCTACCTGCGGCTGCAGAGCAGCGGCAGGAGGGAAAGCCAGCGCGCCAGGCTCATCAGCCCCACCATCTACCTGCCCCGCAGCGCCATCTGCATGGTGTTCCAGTACCAGGTGTGGGGCAGCAGTGGAGTGATGCTGCGGGTCTGGCGGGAGGCCAGCCAGGAGCGCAAGGCACTGTGGGTCATCGCAGAGGACCAGGGCAAGGAGTGGAGGGAGGGCCGCATCATCCTTCCCAGCTATGACATGGAGTACCGGGTAAGATGTCCCCAGCAGAGCCCTAATGCTGTGGTGTGCAGCCAGGGCCCGATCATCATTAGGGAGTGTGGCTGAGAGGGCTGTTTGCATTGTGTTTCTTGGGTTACTATAGTAACTAAACGACACTGTTTGTTATTCAGAGTGTGCCTGTCTTCTGCACAGACTTGGGCCTTTGTTCAGCCTGTTGCCTTTTATATTCCTCAAATCTTCCACTCTGCAAATATTTTTTCTTTTTTTTCTTTTTTTTCTTTTTTTTCTTTTTTTTTTTAATTTAAATTTTTCCATTTTATTCTGTTCAGTTCCTCCTTCCCGATGAGGGTCAGACAGGCCAGGTTGATGAGAGGCAGCACCCACTCCAGGGAGCAAGCCCCAGCCCTGTGCCCATGAAGCAGGGATGAGAACAGGGCTCATGGCTTTGCAGGGAGGTCTCCTTGCAGGCACCCCAGAGAGAAGGGCTACCTGAAGCAGGGAGAGGAGATCTATGGTATATGGAGCCCCAGGAAAGCGCTTGGACCCTCAGGACTAGGCAGGGGAAAGCAAAGCCAGAGCTTTGCACTGGAGCTGTGTGACTAGTTTGCATGTGTTGATCTGGGCTTTTTAATAAAATACTATAGGCACAATATGCCTCTTGATAAGAATGATGGGCACCAGCTGACTACTTTGTGCATTAAACATGAATATACAGGCATTAGCTAAATAACAGCATCATTATGTAAATAATGCAAGTCTCTCCACTCAGCAGTTCTTAGAACCTAACGACTCTATTTATTTTTGTAAATATATTTTGCCTGTGATTAAGTAGGAATAAATTGACCCTTCTGTAACATTTCAGTACTTTCTATGCAGCATTGATGAGAACTGCACTTCGCAGCTAACGTAGCCATGTGCATATTGTGTCCTTCCCTTCCTTTTTCTGATCATGACCCAGCTACGGGACTCTATTAACACCATAGCCCAGATTTGCTGCTGCTGTAACTCAGTGCATTGCCACTCACATTGTTTGTACAGAAGGGGAGGGAGATGGCCTGCAGTGCTGAGCATTGATTCATTCCATGTGAGAAGCATTTAATTGAGCAAAATGCATGCTGAGTGATGCCGGGACAGGTAGTGGTCTCCCTGTGAGCCCTTTCCCACTGAGCAGCTTTCCCTGAGTGAGGAGAGGCAGAGGCAGGAGGAGAAGCAGAGCTGCTCTCAGGTCCACACAGGTGTGCAAGAAGGCCAGGAGCAGCTTTCTTGCCATTGCCCTCAGGAACAGGAGCCACTCACTGCATCCTAGCTTAACACTGATGTTTCTGTCCTGATTTCCCACAGATAGTGTTTGAGGGATTTATACGCAATGGCCACGCAGGAGAGCTTGCCCTGGATGACATCCGGCTGGGCAACGACATCCCACTGGAGTACTGCATGGGTACGTGCAGCAGCTGCTGGGGGGCTGGGGATGGCGTGGGCAGACAGGCTTGGAGAGCCTTAGCTCATGGGCGGCTGCCGCTTCTCTACCGATGGCTCCTGGATCTCAGCTGGGATTCTGCTAACTTCCAGAGATGAGGGGGAATTGGTCCCTGGGGAACAGGGATTTCTGACTGCGTTGGCGTGAAAGGCAGGAAGCACATGTCTCTGCTGTGCAGAGCTGAAAGAGCAGCTGAGGGTGACTGAGGACTATTCTATGTGATAAGAACATACGCCAAATCTAAAAGGAAAGTGCTGGACAAAAGAAACCAGCTGTCAGTCAATATTACATGCTTAGAGGAGATGATGAGTTCAAAAGGAGTCTTCTTTAATAAGAAATAAGATAGCAGAGGGGTTTTGCAGCAACGTTAACAGAATAACAAAAGGAATTCTTGTCCTAGAATTCACCATTCCCTAAACCAGGCCAGAAGCCAGTTAGGGTCTCTCAGTGTGAAAGACAGAGAGGACTTTTAAATAAAAAAAAAAGCAGAGAGAAGAAAAGATGTATTTTAGCAGTTTGGTGGTGGAGTATTGCCCTGCCCTGCCCTGGCTGACATATCACACACTCCAATAGCATTGCTCACCATCTAGGTTGGATGTGGATTTAGAGCCCTTCCAGCTGAGGATGGGAGCAGCTGTATTCTATCAGTGGGATTAATGTGAGAGCTGCCCACAGGAGCTAGGTCCCACTCTTCTGTTTGCTCCATGGTGGGCAGGTTTAACTGTTAACCACCCATAAACCCCACTGAGGGAGCCAGAGACTCACTGCTGAGGTGTGTCTCAGGGAGTGGGACACAGGATGAGCTGTGCCTGTGAAGGGCTGGGCATGTCACGTGCTGCACTGGGCAGGTGGGTGATGTGAAGATGGTGCAGGGACTGACAGCGGTAATAGAACAGAGGAGCAGGGCTGCCCCAGAGATGCTCCTTGGTACTAGAGGTCCCATTTGTTTGATGTTTTGAACTCTGCTGGTCTCCTATCTGCCAAAAGAGCTAATGCTCCATATGTCAAATTCCCTGTATTGAGGCTTGATAGCGGTGTTTTAATCCCTTGCCTTCTGTGGCATTAAAGAGAAGCAAGAGGGATGATTAACACAAATAGCATTTCATATCTAACTTCTTTTGAGTGTGGCAGTTCACCTAATTCAGTGTTACTGTATCTCAGGCCTTGAACCTAAAGCTTAATATTTTGAAACAATGCATGAATAAGTTATAAAGTTTCAAGCATTGCCAGACCTAAAAATAACACCAAACCGCTACATAAAATTATTTCTCATGTTCTAGGAAGTTGAATGGGAATCTTAAAACCTACCATTTCAGACCAGTCCTGACAAAGGGCTTCCACTGCAAATTTTAGCATAACTCATGGGTCATTTCCAATGCTGCCAAAATAATAATGCAGTGATAGAAACACAGCACTGCTTACACTGTCAGAGCTGTGAGAATAGCTGACTCCAGTACAGGCTACTGGGTGATTGGTTTTTTTTGTTTTTTTTTTTTTTGTTTTTTCAGATATAATCCTGGGAAGTAATCTGATTCCTTTTTAGCGTGAAAGAACTCTTATAAGTCACAATAATTTTTTCCTTTGACAAATGTGTCCTTTGCATTCTGAACTTGAGTGATGATTTCATAGCACTCAGCAGTGCCAGTCTGCTTGTGTGACTCACAGGCATAATGCAGAAGTAATCTAAAAATAATCAGAAGTCTATTACTTCTGCGAGAAAGTAATCAGTAATAAGCACTGATTATTGCTTTTCAGATCCAGTAATTTGTAATAGATTACTTCTTCAAAGTGTCTTGAAAAAAAGAAGAAATCACTTGCCTTTGTTTATTGGCACTGTGAGATAGAGAGGAACATGGCACTGAGAAGCGATACAGTTCCCAAGCGAATAATGATGACAGAGTTGAGCCAGAAACCAAACTGTTAGTGGAAATTTTAGGGGGTTTCAGAGCTGCATCATTAGCCAGGTGGGGATTTGTCTTCCGATGACTCAGGCCAACCAGCTGGATCCAAATGACCCCTCAGCCTAACACATTTTTGTCTGAAGTCTGTGCCCAAGTTGAGGCTTTCCGCCTCTGGTCAGTCCCTGACTGAAACACGGTTTTCTCCCTGTTGTGGTGCAGTTGGCTGGAGCCCTGCACTGCTCCCACCACATAGCATCTGTGGGGTATGGCTGCACACCTGCTCCATTTGGATGTTAGTAATTAATGGATATGTGAACTGTGGCTTTCTGTGTAATTTTCTCCTCTCTAATTCTGAGCTTTTCTTTTCCATTGCAGAACCCATCACAGCTTTTCCAGGTGAGAACTTCTACTTTCCAGGTAAAATTGCACTTCTCTTTCTGCTGGCATGGGCTTTTAAATTAAAGGAATGTTAAGTGCTTGCTTGAACAAACAGCAGATGTTCTGAGCAGTGAAATGGCAAGTGTGTGCTAAACCTCTGCTGGTGCCACAGCTGGGGATGGCACCCTCTGATTCCTGCCGGGTGCCAGGGAGCAGGCATAGTGGCAAGCCCCCAGGGCCGACCCAGGGTTGAACAAGATGGGGAGACCTGCAATCAGGAAGCACCTGGCCTCCTGAAGAACAGCAGAGCCCAAAATGTGTAGGCTGAGGAGTGAAGAAATTGACTTATCAATTGACTTAAACAAAAAAGTAGTAGCCACTGAGAAGTGAAATGAGATGGCAGTGTCTTATATTACTGTGGGGGAAAGGATGTTCTGTAGTTCATGGGTGCTCTGACAGTGGCAGTGTTCAAGCTGCTGATGAAGGATGGTAGGGTTGAGCCTTCTTGGAAGGGAAAAGCAGTTTGGATATAGAAGTGCAAGAGTAAATTGCAAGAGGAGCTCTGAAGTTGACAATCAATAAAAGGAAAACAAGATGAAATGATGCATTTAATAGTTTAATATTAGCATGAAGGATTAAAACTGGCATTTCTGTGATCCAACCTATGGAGTAAGATACAAGGTGGAAAATTCAGAAAAAATGCTTCACTGTTTGAACAGCCAATGGGGATGCTGTTTGTCTTGCTCTAAGTGGGAAAAGCTACCTGTGTTTGGGAGAAGATCAGTGTTCTCTGCTTTGGTTTCTGGATTTTGTTTTCCTGCATGCCTCTATAAGAAGGCATGCAGGAATCACATTGTGATGAAGAGCAAACATGGGCCTCCCCTTAACTTTGAAAGTTGTTTAACAGTTTGGTCAGCACGCCCTTTGCTCACAGTTGGCATTAATATCTTTATTCTGTCTGTCTCCTGCTCTGCTGATGGCCTGCTTAATACATCTGGACTCTGCCATACAAGCACCTGCACTTCTCTAGGGAATAAGGCTGCCTCAGGCAGATGCGTGCGCTGGGAGTTGTGGCAGTAATGGGAAAGCAGGGATCAAGACTGGACTGCACTAAGAGGGATGGCCAGCAGAGCTAGGGAGGTGATAGTCCCCTCTGCTCTGCCCACATGAGGCCCCACCTGCAGTATTGCGTCCAGGCCTGGTGCTCCCAGCACAGAAGAGACATAGGGCCGTTGGAGTGTGTCCACAAAGGTGCTCAGAGGGTTGGAGCACCTTTCCAGTGAAGAGAGGTTGAGAGAGTGGGCTTCTGTAGCTTGTGGAAGAGAAGGCTCCAATGAGACCTCATTACAGCCTTCCAATACTTGAGGAGAACTTATAAACAGAAGGGAGGCCAACTTTTTATGTGGTCTGATAGTTATAGGACAAGGGTAAATAATTTTTTAAATAAAAAGAGGATAAATTTAGACTAGCTATTAGGAGGAATTCTTTATTCAGAGAGTGGTGAGGCACTGGCACAGGCTGCCCAGAGAAGCTGTGAATGCCCCATCCCAGAAGGCATTCAAGGCCAGGTTGGATGGGGCCCTGGGCAGCTTGATCCAATGGTTGGCAGCCCAGCCCATGACAGGGGTTTGGAACTGGATGATTGTTAAGGTCCCTTCAAACTCAAGCCATTCTGTGATTCATTCTATGATTCTATGAAACTGAAGGCAAGGGGCAGCTTCCTTCTAAGGACGTGAAGCAGGCTGTGGAGCACTGCTAGTGGGAGACATATGCAGGCATTAATGCTGTGTGTTACGGTGCTGCACGTACACATACTGCAATAAGTAGGAACTTGGACTTGCATGTGGGTAGGCTGCCTGTTTATCCTGCTACTCAGACTTGTGGTGTTTCTGAAAAACAGCTGTAATATTCTCAGCTGACACCTAAAGCCTCCTGGCTGTTCCTCACTTGATCCATCCCTCTGTGTTCTGCTGAGCCTTTCAGTTAGTGGGTCGTGATCTTAGAAGACCAGTCAAGTGTGCTTAAACTGTGCTGCATTTGAGAGTTGATATATCTCACCCTTAAAGAAAAGGCATAACAAGTGGCTGGCAGCAAGGAGTTAGATAAATAGCAGGCTAAAAATAAAAGACATCTTCCAAAAAGCATGGAGACAGGCTGTGGGGAGAATTTACCTGCAGACTGTGGGTTTTCCCACACTGGGTATTCTGAAATCAAGGCAGGGATGCTTTACTAGAGAAGTGGCAGATAGCAACTAAGGGATTGAGGCCAACACCAGTTTTGTGGCATTCTCACGTGGGTGAGATGAATTTACATTCACTTTCATCTGTGCCATCTATGAGAAGTCCAGCTGTGCTGCTGGTCCACAGTGGTTTATGGCAGTGTTGCTGGAGAACACAACAGTGGCACAGCAGTGACAGCCAGCAGATGGCCTCCTGGGAGGCTCTCTGGAGAGGATTTCCTCCTTGTTCCTCAGCATACATACTTCTGCTCTTGCTTGTTTGGGATTTTCATGCCTGTTGCACAGCTCTAAGGTTGCTGCCTGTCAAGCTGCAGGGGGAGGGAGGGGAAGGCTGGCCAGGCAGAGGGGAGCACAGAGCACACCCTGTGATGTTCCCCTGGGTTTGCACTGCCCTGCATTCCCAGTCCTGCTTTAACCAGTGCACCCACTGACTTGACAGGAAGGCAGAGAAGCATTTATTTGCTAAGGCGAGAGCCCCATTGAGGGGATGAGGAAGGGCTAGCACGTGTGTGGCGGAAGGCAAAGAGGAGTGGAAAAGTTATTAAGTTACAAAGATGGATTTTTTTTTTTCCATCTCGCTGAGCAGAGAACTTTTCCACGGTATAAAAGAAAACTTCCAGTGAGCAGCAGAGCCAGTAAAAGCAGATAACATCAGCTCTGTGCTGAGTGGACTGGCAGCTATATTTAGTGGCTGACAGTGTAAGGAAGAACAATTGTTAATGTTGGGAATTGGCTACCTTACGACTTGGAGACAAGGGAGTGTGACTCCTTACTGATTGTAGTTGCTAAATGAACTCTCCAGACAGCTGCTATTACCGCAGCAGAGCCATGAGGAGCGGAAGCAGGGGCCGAGGCCAGATCTGGGCTGCACCACCCCTCGGGCTCACTCCTTGCCTGCACAGGAGTCCATCAGGAATGGACAATGGCTGCCCTGGACTGGAGCCTCCAGGGCGCCATTCCCACTGGCAGGGTCACTGGGGCATATGACACGACCCCCCCCACCCAGCCTGGGATGTGTGTGGAAGATCAGAGGCACGGGCTAGGTACCACAGCATGAGCAGCCCTCATGCTCCCATCTGCTGCATATCAGACATATAAGTAAGTGGTACTGTAAGCACATCTCTCACTAGAACAAGGTACTGTGTAAGCACAGGCTGACATCAAGAGTAAACATGTGCATCCTCTGTGCTGAGAGCAGGTCTGCAGTGCTCCCAGGAGCCAACTCGCCCCAGTGCTGTCAGGAGTGGTGGTGAGATGCCAGGAGTGATGGCAGTGAGGTGTATGGACCCGTCGGGGCTGCATCTGTGTGGGAGGCAGTGGCAGACAGTCAATGGAACCCAGGAACTCAGTGCCCTGGGATGTTACACCTTTGTGCCCTGTGCTGGGAGCAAGCAGAGGAATAGGAGGAGGTGGGGGACTGCTGCCTGGGTCCATCACCCCCATCCCAGCACGGTCTGGGTGTGAGGGATGGGGCAGCTGGGCTGAGACAGGGTGAGGGAAGAGAGAGGCTGCTCCTGAGCTATCCGAATTGCTTGCCTGTATTGACAAATATGTGGGTGGCTCCCAGCCTCCTGCTCTGTAAAAGCAGGATTTATCTTGTCCATGTGTTTTTTCTTTGTTTTATAGTTTCTTTTTCTTAGGGATTTTTGGTTTTATTATGCATCTGGGTGCAGTTTTCATTCCCGTTTTCACTCCCTGTGCCCAGGTTTTGGGGAGATGGGGAAGGAATAGCCAAGGAAGTACCATTTTGCCTCATTTCCAGTGCCAGCAGCAGCAGTAAAACTGTCTATGTGCTGAGTGTGCAGCCAGTGGCTCTGGTGGGGGTAATGCTGCAGGGGGTGGTCAGATGCCCCTGTGTTTTCCAGGCCAGATGCATCCTGTACTGTTTTTTCCCTGTGTATCCTCTTGAGCCTGTTCTAGAAGCCTGTGCCCAGCAGCAGAGCAAGTCCCTTCCAGCTTCCCCAGGGATTCTGGCTGCTAGAAGCAGCAAGTGCATAGATGTGGTGCAGGCGTGCACCTCCCCCAGGGCCCCTGCAGCTTGAAAGCAGAGCCAGGAGGGCTGAGCAGTGAGTGCAGGAGGGTCAGCACCACACTGTTCCCTAGCCGTGGACATCAGCACCAACCCACACCTGCTCAGGACATGTGTGTTGCCATGGGCTGAGCCTGGGAGCTCCATGCCCTTGAGCCCTGAGGCAGCCATTGGATTGTCTTGCCTGAGCTGTCATGAGCATGGACTTCTGATGGGGATATCACAACCCGCACTGTGCACGAAGTCAGCATGTATCATCATACCCATACTTTTTCACTTTAATTATTAAATCTGTAAGACTGTGAACAGGGCACCTAGTGAGAGCAGGTCTGCGTACTGAGCACTTGCAGGAAGAGATCTTGCTCCCTGTCTTGGCTGTAAGAATGACAAATATTTCTCCATCTAATTTCTTTCCCAGTCTCCTGTGGTAACTTCCTTGGCCATCTGAGATTTTGCTCTTCCTCCAATTAGGGACGTGATGGGTTTTGTCACTGTGTGACAACATCTGCCATACAGAGACAAAACCAGGCAGCTGATCTGGAGAAGGCCAAAAAAAAGAGGGGAAAAAAATATTTGTTGATGCCAGAAATAATAGTAATAATAGCATACATATGGAATTCGCATTGCAAGCCAGGCAGCCTGCTTAATTAAACGGAAAGAGAGAGGCATGTTAACACGCAGCTCGATGAGTGCAAGCAGCTCCCTGCAGGAGTGTGTCCCGTACCTGGAGCTGCCCTGGGCCCCGGTGTCACTCGGCACTGTACTTTGCAA